GTCTGGTAAAACTTTTAGATGTTCCATACATATCTTGGTGTCTGGTCTGATTAAATCCATTTTGGGCTGATAACATTTTTAAGTTACCAGCCCTGATGTCTGGTTGGGTTTTTGGCTTATTTCATACACTGCTATATGGCCAGCATAGACCTCCAGGATGCATATCTACACATCCCCATACATCCGGAATCAAGGAAATGTCTACGATTCCTATTCAGCGGTCAGCACTTCCAATGGAAATTCCTATCGTTTGGAATATCGTCGGCTCCGGGGTTATTCACACGAATAACCAAGCCCATAGTCGCCTACCTACATTGTCGAGGTCTACACAATGCTTTTTACCTGGACGACGGCATACAGGTTTATCAAAGTGCCAATCTACTCAGACAGCAGCTGAACTTATAATCAAGTTGCTCACGCAACTAGGATGGCTAGTGAACCTGATGCAGTCAGAGTTGGAACCAAAACAAGATCTGCAATTCCTGGGGATAAGATTCATCACAACACAGAATCGAATTGTGACCCCAGAAGATCTTTGGGTCAAGATACAAGCCATGATTCTTCAAGCAGTCATCTCTCCGTTAACACTACGAACATGGCAATGTCTACTCGGTCTACTAACCTCAGCGCAAGACTTGACTCGCACAGGAAGGTTACAACTACGGCCATTGCAACTATTCCTGGCAAAACATCTGGACAGCGTCGACCCTATCTTGCTACCAGGAAATCTCAAAGTGTACCTACTGTGGACTGACAGGTTGAATGTCTGCGGAGGGACCTATTTATAAGAGCTGGTCTTCGACACACATCTTTATGCAGATGCATCGCTACAGGGATGGGGTGCACATCTCAACAACTAAGTTGCATCAGGGAAGTGGTCAAAAGCAGAACAGCATCTTCACATCAATCTGCTGGAAATGAAAGCTGTGATCAACACCGTACAACTATGGTTGAGTTCGCTGAGCAACAGAATGCTGATGATCCACACGGACAACTCTACGGTGGCATTCTCCATAAATCAACAAGGATCAACAAGATTGCCAAGCCTACTGCAGCTCACATTCCAGTTGTTCAACATCACAGAGGAGGCAAACATCTGGATAAAGGCGTGTCACAGACCGGGAGCCAAGAACGTACTAGCAGACGCTCTTTCCCGACCACTTCATCCGTCACCCACGGAATGGATGCTCCATCCAGAAGCGTTCCGGCTCATTATAAGGGAAATAGGATCCCCATGCATAGACCTGTTCGCCACGAGGTTCAACAAACAACTACAGACGTTTGTTTGACCAGTATCAGATCCCCAAGCCTGGGCAACAGATGCACTGAGCATATCATGGGAAGGACTAAACGCTTATGAGTTTCCACCTCCGATCTTACTACCGAAAGTACTGTTGAAGATCAAGCAGACACAAGCGCTTCAACTGACTTTGGTCGCGCCCTATTGGCCAGCGAGAGTCTGGTTCCTAGACCTAATAGAAGATCTCGTAAGTCCAACCCTCAAACTACCAGAATGGCCGAACCTACTCAGACATCCATACACCAAGCAAGTCCACAGGAACCCAACAGTGTTCCAGCTACACGTGTGGACCGTATCAAAACCTGTCTGAAGAAAAGAGGATACTCCACCAGAGCAGCGAAAGCAGTAACCTTAGCATTACGCAGATCTACTCGCAATTTGTATGACGACAAATGGCAGAAATTTGAACAATATGCAAGGCGGAAGGGCTTCACAGCTATGAAAGCTTCTCATCCTCAAGTGGCGGAATATCTATGTCACCTTAGATATACAAGACATCTGAAAGGTTCGACATTATCCACATATCTGGCAGCCATCAGCACAGTCGTCACTATGAAGTGAGGCATCAAATTGACGAAAGTACCAGAATTACTAGCTCTGCTGCGATCTTTTAAACTGGAGGACCAGCAAAAGAAATTCAGAGCTTCAGCCTGGGATCTGAATGTAATTCTACGTCATCTCATGCTCTAGAACTGACTACCTTCGAGCTACTCACACAGAAAACTCGCCACGGCAGCTCGTATGTCTGAGATACATGCGCTGGACTTTGGACATCTAGGACTTAGATTGGATGGGACTTTATTGCAAAGAATCAACTACCTGGTCAACCAGATAGACAGTTCCATGAGCCAGCGCTATCTACGATCCTCGGACCAGAGGACACCCAGGACTTATCCTTGTGTCCTGTCAGAGCTTTGAAAATATATCTTCAAAAGACTAAAACAAGGAGAAGAAAATTCAAGCGCCTATCCATCCCCTTGTCGACGGAGACATCAGTGGAGGTCTCAAGAATGACAATATCGTTTTGGATGAGAGCTGTTATACTAAGAGCCTACAAAGCAGCAGGATTAGAACCTCCAAGAGCTTCCACCCCACACGAAGTCAGCACTGGCGTCAACACTTGCTCTGCATGGAAATTGCTCTATATCATCAATTATGGAGGGCTGCTTCTGGAAGTCAGATACGGTGTTTGCCAACCACTACCTCCGAGACATAGCCACTGAAGACGTCTCTGGCATTCACTAGTTAGGGCCTCTTGTTGTAGCACAACAACTAATGGTTCCTCAAAGGCGCTGAGTTGAAATCTCACCCTTTATCACGTTGACTTGTTGATAACTTTTACTATGGAAAAAGTTCTAGTTTGAAAGTCCATGCGCACAGTCTAGACTAGGCTAGCATGAGTGATTAAGACTCTGTACGGGTAAAGATCTTACCTGTACGTAAAGGGGTCGCAACTCATTTATGATAAAGATCTTATCATAATCTATGGGTTGTTATAGATAACTAGTAAAAAGAAGATACTAGTATATCTTAAGCCACATGAATCTAGAAGATTCACTTGTCTGAGAGAGAAGTAAGACAAGATTGTGGTCCCCGAGTTATAACGGAAGTTGGAAGAATAGGATCTAGGAAATGCCGTTATATACAGCGTATCTATGGACAGCTGTTGAATCCAGGAAGTGGCTTGACCCACCACCAATCCGTAGGATTCTATAAGCAAAAGATCATGAGTCAGGATAAGGAAAAATATGTAATTTTTAAGTAAAATTGATATTTTATACTTATCCTGACTCATGAGGAGAAGCCCTCCCAACCTCCCGCTGGAAACACTTCGGATTTCACAGTAGATCCAGGTGCATGGGCAGAAAAATCAGGAGAGAGTGACAAGTAAGGCTGGTCACATGACTGTTTGCGCGGGAAAAGGGAGGTAACTCGTTGGTGAGTGTATTTTTATGTTCGCCGGGAACTACAAAGGGATTCAAGTGTTCCACTACCATTCGCAAGGAAAAGGGAGATAAGCAAAGATCATGAGTCAGGATAAGTATAAAATATCAATTTTACTTTAAAAATTACATATTTCTTTTGGACTGCTCATATCCATGCCGGTTTAGACAGTGTTGATTACAGTCAAAATTGCTTGTTGGGACGGGAAAGTCTTGCCGGAATACAGAATAGACAGGTTCCAGATTAGACAATGTTTTAATGCTCCTTACATCGTTGTAAAATGGCGGGACCAAAATTTTATGCCGGTTTTGACAGTGTGCCGGATTAGACAGGTGCCGGTGTTGGCAGGTTTCACTGTATATCATCTATAAACTTGTTATACAGAGAAAATACCCATAGAAATTAGTCCTTTTTTCTATACAATACAGTAGTTAACATCCTTCATTTATGAATGGAGTTCATCGGCTTGAAAGTCACATGAGCTTTATGCAAGGCCTGGTTTTCTGTCATTTGTTGTCAGTTTATTCAAATTAAATTGAATAGAGATCGGTGAACAAGCTGTAAGCTTATATGAACACCTCTCCCTTACAAAAACAAATAATAATTACGTAGTTTGGCTGTTAGTCATGTATACGCTGTACATAGTCCAAAAGAAGAGAGGTATGTCGACATCATAGGTTGAGAGTAAACAATCATTATCTTGAGAAAAGGGCATCTGTTAACCAGTTCTTGTCAAAAAGAAGATCGAAGAAGCTGAAGCTTCTCATGCTTCATGTTTCCATCAATAATGACACATGACATTGCAGTTATAGTGAAAAACCAATATATATTCATCTATTTTCACTCAAAATCTAAAGAATTTGGTACATTAAAGTACTGTCGGAAATAGAAAAAAACCTGTTTTGGGGCTGTTACTCTGTATCCCTAAAATTTGCACAATTGCAAATCGCATATGTCGAAATAATCCAAATCGGCCTAACTGGGCATTTAGTGGGATGCATAATAGGATATCCAGAAAAGCATGTTTACTCATAAAATGGGACAAAACTTAGAAAAAATATGAATAGCTGCTGAAAACAATAGATCAGACTATAGATGGCAATTAGGTCGCTCAGCCAGGTATGACGACGGACCCTCGACTCACTTGGCATGAAATGCACGTGCTGCCCACAGGCACAAGGGATCATCTCAAAGATATGTTATGCTTTTACATGTGTATCGAATATGTCTCTATTGATAATTTATCTTATAGTTTTTATAGCTGATATCTCTATCCCCAAGCCCGACCCCAATCACCATCTGCAACGGGAACAGGTCAAAAGGGCCACATGACAAAAGGGCCCCAAAACAGAAAAGTCAAAAGGGCCGCAAACCCCTAGTCAAAAGGGCCGCATAAAAAAGTCAAAAGGGCCCCATATAAAAAAATAATAACATCTTTTTTTAAAAGTGTATTATAGTAAAAGGTTATATACATCTATACAATGTATACTTTATACATACTAGTTCAGTTGTTAATAAGATAATTTTTTTCAATATTTGAGAGGAAATGCTGACAAAGAATAGATGTATGTATGTATAAATATCATCACGCCGAAGACCCGGGTTCACTTCCCCACATGGGTACAATGCGTGAAGCACATTTCTGACGTCCCCCTGACGTGATATTGTTGGAATATTGCTAAAAGCAGCTTAAATCAACACTCAATCGCTATAAATATCACTTCAGAAACCACTTAACCAATGATGACGAAACTTCACCTGCTTTCTCTCTCCAATGATGACACCAAAATTTGCTCAATGTTTTTTCTGTTTTTCATAACTGCCGTGGCAACAATAATATTAGCGAAGTTATCTATGACCATAACTCACTAAAATTGGTGAAAAGGTAATGAAATTAAGTCCGTGTGCTGTGGGGCCCAACACATATTCTGGAATTGAGATGTTTTAGTTTTTACCATGAAATGACCCTTCTCCTTGGATTGAACTAAAAGCTTAAACTTCTTATGATTACTCAGGTAATTTCTTTCAGAATGAAATGTAATTATTCATATATCATTGATGGATAGAGGAACTAGATGACAGGGACATTTGGGCCCCTTTGCTAATAAATTAGGGGACATTCCAAAAAGGAAGGGGACACAAAACCAGAGTATTTCTGAAATCCTTCTGTTTAATAATACCTTAAAGAACAATGAAAATCAAACCAATACTTTCAGCAAAGGGCAGGGATTTCAACGCTGATAAGTCGCATGATACATCAGTCTAGCAGTGGTATACTTTCTGTGTTGTTAAGACTTTTGTCAGTGAGGGGAACCAAATTGTGTGATTGATGCTCATGCTGTTGATCACTGGATTGTCTGGTCCAGACTTGATTATTTACAGACTGCCATCATATAGCTGTAACATTGCTGAGTGCGGCGTTAAACAAACAAACAAACAAACAAACAACTAGTGTTACGAGTGGAGAGATCACACAACAATTTAATATCGTTTTAATACTGGCAGTCTATACATATATACAAATGTGCAAAACAAGTATCATGGTACATGTAATCATGTATATGTTAAAAGTCTTACTTTGGTTATCACATGGATATACAATTGTTCCTGCTCCATCACCTTCCTCAGAATAATAACACATACAATCCTTCACATGAAATCACTCTATGCCGACATGGCATATTCAAGTAGACAGTTTAAACTTGCCGACATGGCCAATCCGTTCAGTTCACTCCCGACCTGGGCACTGATCACTCTGTGTGTTACCTTGCTTAAACAAGTCAAAAACCCAAGCTACAATTATATAACATCGTTGTTTCATTACCCCAGCTTACTTATAGACAATGGAGAGTGGCCACTGGTAAGCATAGCTTCTCAGTTAAGGTGAACAGGTATTTTAGGGAATGTAAATATATTTTAGAATGACTTCAGATTTATAAATATATATACAGAATTATGTATAGATATATAAGACATTCTCATAACACTAGTCAGGGGAAGAAATATCACCGAAATACTATCACACTCAAACCTATGAGTAGTCCGTTTATATTTCTGGGGGACACATGGGGCTCACAGGAAGGAAATCTACTGGACATTTTAGATTTCTGTGTACCAATCCTGCAAGGGTGTGTGCACTCAAGATCCAGCACTGATATAGGTAGTTCATAGATGGGCTTAATGTTTCATGATGTCTCTAATTTGGACCTTCATTTGACATTTGCACTTAGACCATGTTGTTAAATTCTCTCGTGATGCATCATCTTTCTTTGTATTGTAAGCATGATCTCAGCAACAACTGAACCAGTGAAACAAAGGCTTGACTAACTATGATGACATCTGAAAGTAATTTGAATGATTTGAACCATATTTTTAATATAGCCACAGAGCACCAAAATAAAAGCAATTAGGGGCAATGTCTGGCTACTCTTGCCCAGGATGTACAGTTAGTCTCGTAATTATTTGACCCATTAAACTTATAATTAGAACTTGTCTTCAGCAACCCATGCAACTAACAGGATTGGGTGGTCAGACTTTCTGAGTGAGTGAGTGTTGCTTTAAGCTGCATCAGCAGTTTTGCAACTGTCAGGCTGTCAGGCTCACTTGTTTGATGGATGTCATATCCTTTTCGTTTAAATCAATGCTCATGATGTCAATCACTAGATTGTCTGGTCCAAACTTGCACAATAATGACAAGGGTCATATTGCTAGCCTTAACCAAATAAATATGCTTGGGTCAAAAGTTATTGTGACTTGGAATTTTTTCATTGTTAATCTTGTGGATTAATTTATGGATTTGAACTAGGGAAAAACTGTCCTAAACTTTTTGAAGAAATGCAACCAGACAGTTGGTGTTTGAATTGGACAAAATTTACAAAAAGCATGACATATTCGGGGAAATGACCTGTAATGTTCACTTTAAAAAGTTGGACGACCAGATGCATATCATTTCCACTCCGTGCAGTCTTAGAAGTGCAGGAGTTAGAAACAAATACTTCTTCATTGTTCTCGAACAAGTTTGACAAGCTATGCTGGGGGTAACAGATGGAGAGCAAGAAGTATGCTTAAGTTTGGTACCTTGCAGTCAACGTTATTAGCCTCAATGAGACAAAGGTACGAGGCCTGCATCAATACACAAGGTGGGCACTCTCGCTGCTGACAGTGCCAACTTGTTTGTGAACTCCTTCTTGCATTGTGGGGTAGCCTAGTGGTTAAAGCGTTCGCTCCTCACGCCGAAGGCCCGGGTTCGATTCCCCACATGGGTACAACTTGTGAAGCCCATTTCTGGTGTCCCCAGCCATGATATTGATGGAATATTCGTAAAAACGGCGTAAAACCAGACTCAGTCAGCAGCCTTCTTGCATTGTGTCTGATGTACATATACCAGGTGCACTGTTCTCATGGACTATTCATTGTTACCATATCATTTGTCATTCCATGTAATATAACATTTCATTTGCAGCAGTATAATGTTTACACTGTTTGTTCTACTGTTTAGTTGTTGTTTGTGTGTCACAATAACTTTTGCCTTGAGTATATATATAAATAATGTTTATAATATAAATAATATATATAAATAATTATTTGATATACGGTTTTGTTTTTGTCTTTAAGATTTGAAAAATTGTATCGCTTTAGTAACATTATAGCACAAGGTGTTGGAATGCCCAGTGTTCAACCTGAACTGTTGTGCGGGGCGGTGGGGAAGCCTAGTTGGTAAAGCGTTGGCTCGTCACGCCGAAGACCCGGGTTCGATTCCCCACATGGGTACAATGTGTGAAGCCCATTTCTGGTGTCCCCTGCTGTGATGTTGCTGGAATATTGCTAAAAGCGGCGTAAAACCAAACTCACTCACTCTCTCACTGAACTGTTGTGCATTCTAACTATGTGTTCTGCAGTAGCACAATCAGTATTGCATTTTTAGAAACATTGTGGAAATCTTGATACTTTTACCAAAGCAGTCATTAACTTTTGTTAAGTGGCTGGTGACATTTATAACCGTTGACTTCTTGTCCAGGTGAGCTACAGCGGTCCGGCACTATTTTATGGTTACTGAGGATGCCAGTCCTCCAACATAAAGTTTCAGTTTAGTGAAATAAATCATCTTACCAGTGTGGTGAAAGACTTCATTTTTGAAAAGAATTTTATGAGATGGGTCAGTGAAGGAAGAAATGTAATCATAACATGTGACATCTTTTTCCTTTCATTTGAGTATAATTTTTTTAACTTTGATACTTTCAAGAAATCACTTTGTGTGAGATTTTTTAAATTTTTACCACGCATCTGTAAGACAAATCTGAAAAGCCAGTAAATAAACAGCTGCTTGTGTCATTTGAGAGAGTGCACCATACACTTCCTGTGTCAGGTCAGACTTTGCCTGACACACTTCCTGTGTCAAGTCAGAATTTGCTCCACACACTTCCTGTGTCAGGTCAGAAGTTGCTTCATACACTTCCTGTGTCAAGTCAGGATTTGCCTGACACACTTCCTGTGTCAAGTCAGAATTTGCCACGCACACTTCCTGTGTCAAGTCAGAATTTGCTTCACACATTTCCTTTGTCAAGTCAGAATTTGCCTCACGTACTTCATGTGTCAAGTCAGAATTTGCCTGATGCACTTCCTGTGTCAAGTCAGAATTTGCCTCGCACACTTCCTGTGTCAAGTCAGAATTTGCTTCACACACTTCCTGTGTTGAGTCAGGTGGACCACACACTTCTTGTGTAGCGTCAGAAGGTCGGTGATGCACTTGCTGTGGCAAGTCAGAAGATGGACCACACATTCCTGTTGTGGAATCAGAAGGTGACGGTGGATCACACACTTCCTGTGTTGAGTCAGGTGGACAACACACTTCTTGTGCTGAGTCAGAATATGGTCAATACACTTATGCCGAGTCAGAAGATGTTCAGTGACTTCATGTCTCCAATGATTGACTTGTCAGCACTGGATATAAAGAAATTCCAATCAGAAATCAAGAAGTTCTGGACCAGTGTACCTGAAAGTAGTCAAATATTTGTTGATCATTTTGCATGCTCCCTTTTACTCAAACTTGCAAAACTTGAAACAAGAATGAAAACTCACCTTCCTGCAGCTTACATTTGAATATCAGAATTCAGTAACAATTATTTGGCTAAAAACATAAACTGACAGAAAATTTAAACAAAAGAGACGGTATGATGTATACCTATTGTGCCAGTAGAATCGCCTACACTGAAGAAACACATCAAGTTTTTAGAAATTGTTAAGAAAATTGTTGATTTGGTTCATAGGATTGAGAACTTAGACCTTTTTTCTCATTAATTCTTAAATGCTTTTGGCTTAGAACAAAACTAAATGTCCAAAATGCTGATTTTGTGGAGGCTTATGGGAAGTGTACTGGCTAGCAACCAGTTATCGCCAACACCTGGCTGTAGCACTTGCACAGACAGCTTGACTTGTACTTCCGTAGTATTTCACACATTGACACATCACAAAAGCGATAGGCTACGAGAGTTAAAATCAAGCTATCTGCGCAAGCGCTACAGCCAGATGTTGGCGATAACTGGTTGCTAGCCAGTATGTTCAATTTTGAACATGAACAAGTATATGACCTAAACTTATTTTGCAAGGTGATGTTGTTAAGGACAGTGCAGCCATTATTGTAATTAGTTTATCTTCAACATTCTCCTAGATTCTTGACAAATTTGCCTATTTCATGTGCGGCATCCAGATCTTGCAAGTGAAAGGAAGGAGAAAGACTAGTTGTCATTCATATGAACATTTTCCCATGATTTTCATAACAATATTTTAAAGCTTTTCAGAACATGTTCATTTGACATTTCCTGTATGTATCCAATGGGCTTGATTAATATGAAATATAAAAAACATGTTAAAAGTAATGACTTTGTCATTAATACCGATACAATCCTAGAAATATGAAAGATTTCTTTCATTTTCTTCTTCTTCTCTCCTTTGAGAGATCGCAAACATATTTTGGATGTCCTGGTTTTCAAAATACATGTTGCCATGTTAACCAAAACTGGCTGCACATACCCGTAACTTTGACAACAAACTGTTGTGAAGTCCCTGGAAGTGTATCGTTTAAGTGTTAATTAATAGCTTCTCAGGAGATAGCTATATATAATTTCACTCTGTGAAGGAGCGGTTCATGAGTTTGATGTTGGACAATCAGACTTACCTGTAATTACATTTTTAGACACATTAACATTTTCATCCAACATCAAAGTTTTGAACCGTGAACCTTTTACTTATTACAAAGTATCGTTGTGTATATACCACACAATGTGCTTTACGTGGTTGATAGATGGCCATATCACTATCTCCCACGTTGGTATATTTGTTAATCTATTAATGAATACGTATTGTGTATATATACCACGCAATGTGCTTTACATGGTTGATAGATGGCCATATCACTATCTTCCATGTTGGTATATTTGTTAATCTATTAATGAATAAGTATTGTATATATACTACACAATGTGCTTTACGTGGTTGATAGATGGCCATATCACTATCTTCCATGTTGGTATATTTGTTAATCTATTAATGAATACGTATTGTGTATATATACCACACAATGTGCTTTACATGGTTGATAGATGGCCATATCACTATCTTCCATGTTGGTATATTTCTTAATCTATTAATGAATAAGTATTGTGTATATATACTACACAATGTGCTTTACGCGGGTTGATAGATGGCCATATCACTATCTTCCATGTTGGTATATTTGTTAATCTATTAATGAATACATTATTGTGTATATATACCACACAATGTGCTTTACATGGTTGATAGATGGCCATATCACTATCTTCCATGTTGGTATATTTGTTAATCTATTAATGAATAGGTATTGTGTATATATACCACACAATGTGCTTTGGTTGATAGATGGCCATATCACTATCTTCCATGTTGGTATATTTGTTAATCTATTAATGAATAGGTATTGTGTATATATACTACACAATGTGCTTTACGCGGTTGATAGATGGCCATATCACTATCTTCCATGTTGGTATATTTGTTAATCTATTAATGAATAGGTATTGTGTATATATACCCACTATCGTGCTTTTACATGGTTGATAGATGGCCATATCACTATCTTCCATGTTGGTATATTTGTTAATCTATTAATGAATGAGTATTGTGTATATATACTACACAATGTGCTTTTACGGTTGATAGATGGCCATATCACTATCTTCCATGTTGGTATATTTGTTAATCTATTAATGAATAAGTATTGTATATATACTACACAATGTGCTTTACGTGGTTGATAGATGGCCATATCACTATCTTCCATGTTGGTATATTTGTTAATCTATTAATGAATACGTATTGTGTATATATACCACACAATGTGCTTTACATGGTTGATAGATGGCCATATCACTATCTTCCATGTTGGTATATTTCTTAATCTATTAATAAATGAGTATTATAGGTTGGTTTAAAAGGAAGGGGTTCCTTAGTCAGTGAAGCTTGCTGCTTCTGTACTATTTGACTCTAGGACCCCTTACGTTCTATACTAATGCTATGGCATAACCCTACACTTGTATGCTTATTTTTAGCAGTTTCATTCATATTTTTGAACACTGTATATATCATTGTATTTCAATGAAGTTGACATCATTTATGATTGCTTTTGGCTTATTAACATCACTGTTCATACCATTAGTTGCACTTAGAACATTTATCTTCACAACATACACTTACGGTAGACCAAATATAAGCTCACCAAAACTAAGAATTACCTACTATATTCCTCAGGTAAGTGTTAGACTAATAGATGTATATTAGTTGATGGGAAATGAGTGTATTGGATAATTTTAACAATATACCCATCTACATAAAAGATTAGGGACTGACTGTCTTGAGACGAAACAAGAATCATACACTTATTTGAAACCCAAAATATTACTTGATGGAAGGAAAAATATTGCTTGTTGTGCAATGAAAAAACCCATTGCGTGTCACTTTTACTGATGCAATAGGTATATACATACATTTTTGGTGAGAATTAAAGAAGATATTGCAGTCCCCTTATACTTGAAACTGTCAGTCCCCATGTTTGTACATAATACAAAATACTGTAGGAACTTTCTGTATATTTAAGTAGATATACCAAACTAAGTCTATAACAAACTCTGATTATTATTAACTAAAATTAGTGGTCGCTCTATATATTTATTTTCTGTAATCATTGATGAATGGTACTTTTTGATGCAGAACATATCTGGCAAAATGCGAATAAAACCTCCAGGATTCTGGGCCTTAAGAGGGTGTTTTTTTTGTAATGATAAATACTTTTTCAAGTCTTTGAAGGGAATTTAGAAGTAGAATGCATAAGTTATTCACAATAAAGAAGTTGACATCCATAAATCTTGCTTTTCTTATAAAAAATGTATGACAATGAAAAATAGGTTTTCTGGATGCAAAGTGCTAGTTGTATTATACTATAACTGTCAAGGAGCTGACTGTTTGATATACTGGTAACATATGATTTGGTGGGACATGGAGGATGTCTGGAAAACTGTTGTGAGGAAAAAACGAAAAAGAAAAAAGTGTTTGTCTTAAAGTTGTCACAGGAACAGTAATATCTAATGTGACAGAAATCCAAGTAACCCATCCCAATATTAACTGGTCAGACTTCAGCATCTGCTTCGTATTACTGTGAGGTTTCTCGGGAAGCACTGGTCCCCCTGTTCATATGAGCCGACTCAGATATTATCCCTTAGTTCCAATGTATGATCATCATTCTTGCCAACCATCTAGACCTCAGTGATGTGAGCTGTGAAGTTCCGGGTTAAAATTGGTTTTCATTAACTCATGCTTGTCGTAAGAGGCGACTAAAAGGGTCGGGTGGTCAGGCTCGCTGACTTGGTTGATACATGTCATCGTATCCCAATTGCGTAGATTGATGCTCATGCTGTTGATCACAGGATTGTCTGGTCCAGACTTGATTATTTACAGACCACCATCATATAGCTGGAATATTGCTGAGTGTGGTGTTAAACAACAACCAAACCGATCAGTGATTTAGCTGTAATATTGCTGACTCTAGTGTAAAACCAGAAATAATTTCTCAAACCAGCTCAGAAAGCAGATTTTGATCAACAGGATTCCTATGGACATAGGGCTGTGGGGGTAGCCTAATGGTTAAAGCGTTGGCTTGTCACGCCGAAGACCCGGGTTCGAATCCCCACATGGGTACAATGTGTGAAGCCCATTTCTGGTGTCCCCCGTCGTGATGTTGCTGGAATATTGCTAAAAGCGGCGTAAAACCAACCCCAGTCAGTCCTATGGACATGGATATGGAATTGTATTGCCTTTACACACAGACTAGTACATATTCCCATTTGGAGAAATATGGTGTCCATTAATGAGAGTTTGTTTTTTTGGTTGATGGATACGAGTGAATAGACATAGGTGTGTTAGAATGAGATATAAAAGATATGATTCTTAAAATACTACATAGGCAACTTGCAGAAAACATTATGAAAGGTAGATAAGATCATGTTGATAAAGGTTTCTGATCTTACCTGTAGGTGTAATGGTGTTTATGGTGTTTAGATTCGTAGATATTTATATGTATGTACTATTAATAGGGCTGCGCAATATAACCGGTTTACCGGTATTTACCGGTTCAGACATGATACGTATCGCGATACGCTGATCGAAAACCAGTATTTTGACTTGCATTCCGAAAACTTCGTAACACTCGGAAATCTTCGGATATGTCCTTGTTTCATTTGTGCCAAATATTATTCATATTTTTACTTTATCATGATTAAAAGTTGTTATGAAAGCTTAATCAAGCCTAGTGATTGCATTGTGTTTTTGCTCTATAAATCAAGAATTAACTCGATTATAAGTAGTTTTTTGTTTAAAAATACTTCATGCAATATATTGCAATACATATCGCCATACATGCTTTCGCATCGCAATCTATCGCAATATGAAAATTCTCTGCAATACCCACCCCTAACTATTAACCATGTTTTAACTTTGTCATGACAGCTCTGTGTATTCTTCAATTACAGGTGACTCGTGGACTGTGGAAAAAGTATGGAGACAAGCGTATAATTGACACACCCATCACAGAGGTACGATTGTAGTGTCTTTCATCCCATTTTAACTTTACAATATTTCTAAAGTAACTCAGTCGTGATGTTAGGCTTGTACACACTAAAAACAAAAGACCATTACGTATGAGGTGAACTTGCCTCATAGCATTATAATATGAGTAATCCTATTGGCTAAAGCCAACAGCTTCCTGAGGTTTCATCCAATGAGTGAAGACGTTTTATAACACATTTGGTTTTGTGTTAATACACCATGTCATTTTCAACAAGTGGAAAAAAATGAAAGCAAGCACACAAAATACCAAAATTGTCGCTTGACCATTGGTTTGAAAATCCCTGGCAATATGATGTTATTAAGTATTCACTCATAGGATGTAGACAAAGACTATACGAACAATATTACATATTGTTTACGCTTGCAGTTGCCTCCCACTTCTTTGGGATGCCTATTATAAGGCAAACTACACATGAAAATCTGGGTTAGAATTAACCTTCAGCAACACATGCTTGTCATAAGAGATGACTAACGGGATCGGGTGGTCTGACTCGATGACTTGGTTGATACATGTCATCATGCGCAGATCGATGTTCATGCTGTTGATCACTGGATTGTCTGGTCCAGACTTGATTATTTACAGACCGCCATCATATATCTGGAATATTGCTGGGTGCGGTGTTAAACAAACTCAAAAACAAACACACAATAAGACAAGTTGATCCTTTCCAGGTTTAGTATTTAGGGGTTAAATATTGATGTGACTGTCCACTGTTATGTAATGTTCTCGAAGTTGTGTTTGATATCTTTAATAAATGCCCTGCTTGTTTTGCAGTTGGGCTTTGCTGGTATTGCAGTAGGAGCTGCCATGGTAGGTGTTAGTGTGTAGACAATAAGCTCTTGCTTCATTTCCTGTAAATGTGGTGGTGGTGGGGTAGCCTAGTGGTTAAAGCATTTGCTCGTCACGCCGAAGACCCGGGTTCGACTTCCTACATGGGTACAATGTGTGAAGCCCATTTCTGGTGTCCCTCGCCGTGATGTTGCTGGAATATTGCTAAAAGCGGCTTAAAACCAAACTCAGTCAGTCAGTCAGTCCTGTAAATGTTGTACTCATATAAGAACTAAGAACTAGCTTAGGGTTAATTTGGTCTCATAAGTTACAAACTGCTGTTTGAAGAGACCTGTGGTTATGGTTTATCTTTCTAGTTAAATACACAAGGAACATGATCTGATGAGTATGTCTGAGGATATTTTGTAGCATGAAGGTTGCTTTGATTTGCAGGCTGGACTAAGGCCGGTGTGCGAATTCATGACGTTCAACTTCTCCATGCAAGCCATAGATCAGGTATGAATAGTGACATTCAGGGGATGGTGGGGTAGCCAAGTGGTTAAAGCGTTGGCTTGTTACACCGAAGACCAGGAAGACATGGGTACATTGTGTGAAGCCCATTTCTGGTGTTCCTTGCTGTGATATTGCTGTGATATTGTTATAAGTGGCATAGAACCAAACTCGCTCACTAACCCACTCACTCACCCACTTAATGCCATTCAGAAATTGGTGAGATGTAACATATGTTATATTTTAGATTACATTTTCTCAGTCTAGAACAGGTTCCAGTACATTTTTAGGTTGAGTCCCTTATGGTATCCACGGTGGCTGAGTGGGTTAGATCGCTGACTTTGTGTGCTGGTGGCTGTCCCTTTCCCTGCACTCCTCCCTCGTAACAAACAGTGAACTGTGTCAATATTTTGATGATAGTTTGTTAAACAACTTTTTTAATTTTAAGACATTAATTCTGCAAAAACCTCACAGAGTAGGTCTGACGTTTTCATTATGATCAGTGTTTCATTGAGTATTTTATGGTTATTAGTTTTCGAGTTGGATTGCTATTCATCGGTCCGCTTTTGAGCCAAACGGACTATAGGTATGAATCCCATTTGGGACTCAACCCCTAAAAGTGCTAGCATCTGTACTTTGCTGACAAAGTGTAATCCCATATATATTGTATGTTACATAGATCAGGTAGGGCAAAAGTAACGTTTTTCTCATGCAAACTGTTTTTTAACAGAAATTTGATGGATGTTTATTCTGTTTCAGATTATCAATTCAGCTGCAAAAACTTTCTACATGTCTGCAGGCACTGTAAGTTGAAGTGATTAAATATAACAAGATGAATGAGAAAAATGTATCACTGGGAACATAGGAAACTGTTGAAAGTCATAGCCTAGTTGTTTTTTGATTTATCATTCAGTATTCTAAGGATAAAGGGGCGGTGGGGTAGCGTTCGCTTGTCACGCTGAAGACCAGAGTTTGATTTCCCACACGAGTACAATGTGTGAAGCCTATTTCTGATGTCCATGACGTGATATTGCTGGAATATTGCCAAAAGTGTTGTAAAACCAAACTCACTCACTCACTAGGGACATTATTCAGGCTTTTGAAATGTGTATATTTATATACCTTGATTACAGAAATTTGACCTCTGCATGATCAATGTATCTCAGTGAAGTTTTAAGACAGTTTGTTATCTGAATAGTGTAATTCTGATGTGTGTCACTCTGACTATAATATGTCGAATGTCACACATCTTACAAGTATAGATCCTTTTAATGAATGTGCACATTACGTTCTCCAGGTTCCAGTGCCGATTGTGTTCCGAGGCCCTAACGGTGCTGCCATGGGCGTGGCTGCCCAACACTCCCAGTGTTTCGCTGCCTGGTACAGTCACTGCCCAGGACTCAAAGTTCTCTCCCCTTATTCCTCAGAGGATGCTAGAGGACTGCTCAAAGCTGCTATCAGGGATCCTGACCCAGGTGACGTAGCTTCATCGTACTCCCAGAATCACAAATAACCCTATTTTCTCAATCTCAAGGCATTGTGTTTTGGTAAACCTTCAATATCCCTTGATCCACTACGGTGGTTCTCACAATCCCAAATTACTCTGCCTTCATTTCCATTTGCCATATTGATTAGCAACACCACTAGGTCTAACAAACCAATCACAATGCAAGTTACACATCATACGCGATGTTCTGTGGGAAGTATCAAAAACATGGCATCACACTGATTATCATTGAGGTGGTGAAAATTCACAAAACTGACTTGCATGTGGAAGAAATCTCTTTAAGATCTATTTGATTGAAAAGATGTCTCCATGTCTCAAATTTTGTAGTGGCTTTCGTTTTTACGTAATGCAAGTTACCTCCCTTACACTTCCCCATATGTCGATGTTTGATAAGTTGGTAAAATGTTTATGTAATTCAAGATTACTGTGGGGTAGCCTAGTGGTTAAAACGTTAACTCGTCACGCTGAAGACCCGGGTTTGATTCCCTACATGGGTACAATGTGTGAAGCCCATTTCTGGTGTCCCCTGCCGTGATGTTGCTGGAATATTGCTAGAAGTAGCGTAAAACTAACTCACTCACCCATGTAATTCAAGGGCAGGTAATTTGCGATTTGCGAGAACTACAGGAATGAATCCTGGGTTACCGCAAAGCGGCTTAAAACTAAATTCTCTTACTCACTCACTTGTCAGTAGAGTTTTTATGTCATAATACAAGCGTTGACTCGTCACGCCGAAGACCCGGGCTTCGAATCCCCACATGGGTACAATGAGTGAAGCCCATTTCTGGTGTCCCCCGCCGTGATATTGCTGGAATATTGCTAAAAGCGGCGTAAAACCAAACTCAGTCAGTCAGTCAGTCAGTCAGTCAGTCATAATACTGCTGCAATATATTCCGCTGGTAGACATCCCAACAGACTGAAGAAAGGAAACTTTGGTATATATTTATAACATAATTGGTACTATGTCACCATCAGCATGTTGCCGATCTATTCAATTTGTAGTTGTACACTTGGAGAATGAGCTGATGTATGGCACGTCTTTCGAGATCTCCGATGAAGCATTGTCCCCGGACTTCGTCGTGCCTATAGGAAAAGCTAAAATTGAAAGAGCAGGTTTGTAATTTTGGTCTAACATGAAGTATGATGGCACTGCATACAACTCAATCATGCCTTGCAGTGTTTAAAACTGATTTATGTAATCATCTGTCAAATGTCGGTACTTTCTGCAATTTCTGACTTTTTTTCAAATTAAAATAATTGTTTCTGGGGCGGTGGGGTAACATGTTTGTTTCGGCGGTGGGGTAGCATTGTGGTTAAAGCATTGGCTCGTTGCGCCAAAGACCTGGGTACGAGTCCCTACATAGTTACAATGTGTGAAGCATTCTGACGCCTCTTGCTGTGAATATTGCTAAAAATACCCGCCTCATTCACTCATTTAGTTTTGAGTCTATGAACCCAAACTTGGTTAAAAAGGCTTCATTTCGGACTCTGGTTAAGGTATCGCTTACTTCTCACATGTATTTTCTGATTGAATGATTTCCAGGAAGTCACGTGACCCTAGTGAGCCACTCCAAGAGTGTGGGCACCTGTCTACAGGCAGCGGAGGAGCTTACCGGTCAGGGCGTTGAGTGTGAGGTGGTCAACCTGAGGACAATTCGACCGCTGGATGAAGAGACCATCATCCAGTCCGTAATGAAGACCAACCATCTAGTGACAGTGGAGGGGGGCTGGCCACAGTTTGGTGTAGGATCAGAGATATGTGCTCGCTTGATAGAGAGTAAGTTCAGTAGTCAAACAACTGTTTGAATTTTTTAAATTAAAAGTTTGGCCAGACCAATTTTATTTCTTGTTTTACGGATCCGACGGTCATATTTGTTCAAGGATAAGAAAAAAAAAGAAGAAAAAAAATTTCCCCACTTGAAAAATAAAATCCTAATGTCAAGATATACGGGAGTGAGACTTCGACTATGTAAGGCAGTTTGTAGGACACAAAACAAAGGAATGTGTTCTCAGAGACTTAAAGCTTAAATTTCTAGCAATATTTGTGTTAGAAGTCAGTGCTTCGAGCACCTCAGCGGGTGTGAACTTGAAACACAATGCCTTTGAAAAATTCATGTGGAGATTTGCTTTGACTGGTGATTTTTTTATATATTTTTTTTTTCTTCCTGCCTTTAGGTTTTATGGGGACAAAATCTGTAAAACTAGAAAAAAAATTGGTCTGGCCTTAAACCCACATGTTAGCCGCATGCAGAATATCTGCTCTTTTAGTGCTGTCATTGAGGTGGTGGGGTAGCCTAATGGTTAAAGCGGTTCCTCATCATGCTGGAGACCCGGGTTTGATTCCCTATATGTGTACAATGTGTGAAGCCCGATTTCTGCTGTCCCCTGCCGTGATATTGCTGGAATATTGCTAAAAGGGGCATAAAACCATACTCACTCATGCTTGAAAACCTTTGACACACAAATTGACATAAAACTCACTCACTCTCTCTCTCTATGATACAAGACTCCGGAGATAAACATACTGTGTTGGAAAATCAGAGGTATATAACGAAATTATAATAGCTCGAAATTTGATTTAAACCAAACGTTTATCTCCATTCTACCATAACCGTGTTAAGATTGAAAAAATATATACATACTGTGTTGGAAAATCAGAGGTATATAACGTGATTATATACCTCTGAATTACTTTGATTAACCAATCACAATCCAGTAGTTACTGAAGTCATGGTAGAATAGGGGCCGTGGGGTAGCTTAGTGGTTGAAGCGTTCTCTTGTCACGCCGAAGACCCGGGTTCGAATCCCCACATGGGTACAATGTGTGAAGCCCGATTTCTGGTGTCCCCTGCCATTATATTGCTGGAATATTGCTAACAGCTGCGTAAAATTAAACTCACTCTTTGGGAAGTATCAGCTGCATGACTGACCCTTCTCTCCACCCCTCCACTCAGTCAGTCAGTCATGGTAGAATAAGTAATATCCTCTTGAAGTCTGTTCCTACCCAGAAGTTTCCACATTATTCCACATTAGAACTACCGGTGAAGATCGGGTTAAAATTGATCTTTGATAACCCATGCCTGTCGTAAGAGGTGACTAACGGGATTGGGTGATCAGGCTCGCTGACTTGGTTGACATATGTCATTGTATCCCAGTTGCGTAGATCGATGCTCATGCTGTTGATCACTGTATTGTCTTGTCCAGACTCGATTATATAATGACCGCCGCCATATAGCTGGAATATTGCTGAGTGCGTAAAACTAAACTCACTCACTCACTCACCCACATTATAACTGCACAGTGTGTGGGAAGCCGGAGAACAAACATGAAATGCTTTGTAGAAACTTGTAGATATGGCAGGTGCTATTAGGATCTGCTGTCTTTGGGTTCAAATCCATTATTTGTCTTTATCATAATCCAAGGTTTGTCTATGCCTAACCTGTGCTCAGAGGTTTGTCAGCACCAAATAGTGCTAATTGGTTTCACAAATGCTTTCCACGTTAAGCTGACACAACAAAATATAACTGAAATATTACTGTAAAGGCTTTGAATTGAGCTCAATCACTCACACACTTAACGATCTATGATCCAGGTGCTGCCTTTAACTACCTTGACGCCCCAGTCTTGCGTGTGTCTGGCGCCGATGTCCCCACTCCATACGCCAAGACCCTGGAAGACTCCGCCTTCCCACAGCCAATCAACGTTATAAGAGCTGTGAAAAAGAGCCTGAACATCCCTTGATGATCAGCTGTGCAGATATTACCAGTTCTTACACCATTTTAATAGAATGAGGGTCGTTAGGTGTATACAATGAAAGACTGTGTATAGGCTCAAAAGTGCTTGTTAGCCGGTGTCTTCTTCCAGGTCATGGCCGGTGGCTGAAAGTGGGTTTTCAGTATTTATGTGGTGTTTTATGTTTGTTATCACTCCAAGAGCACATATGTACCACTCAAGCTTAGGTAAGGATGTTTACAGTTTTCATACTGTCCTTGACAATTGGAAAAGAAACTCACCGATATTTATATATATATATATATATATCCTTTGGCGCTTTATCCTTTTCAAAAGTTGAGTGGTATGTATTCTTTGCTTATGAAGTGAAATACTATCAAATAAAATCGGCATTAACTTATTTTTTTATTGAATAACAATTCAGTTCAAATTAATTTAAGAAGCACGGTAACTTTTTTAACATGAGTTTGTAAATGTGCAACAATTTTTAATTTTTAATGTTTATTTTACGTCATGGTTACACTGCCAGTTTGTTTGATAGGATGTGAAGAACACTTTCCTAAACTTGGAATGTCGGTCCACAAATTTGATAATTTGGAAATTTCGATTGAGCTGTGTGTGTCCACAATACCACAGGCAATGTATGTAGTCAGGAAGGTTGTAGTGGGAACTAATCACCGCATTACGAACAGTATTGTTAATACCAACATTTATATTAATCAGAGATGATTATTATGTCATTAACATGAACTGGTGGAGCCAAAGACAGGAATGTTGAATCTCAGAGATACATTTTTTCTCAGTTTGTTGCTATGATCAGTCATTGAGGTGACCCACTGTTAAAAATGTTGTTTTTTAAGCATCCTGGTATTGGAAAGTAATAATTTTGTCATGCATTAAAATGTAAAGATGTCTTGCCATAAATACTCAATTAGAAGTAGTTGTAATGCCGGAGACATCAGTCATTTTGAACCTGAAGACAGAATTGACTCGGGTATTTCCACTATTTTACAGTGCATTGTTTTGATGGAGGTGTGTACTAGCCTTAGGGACCGTTCATAATTTATGGCTAGGGGGTGTGATAATGATTTTTATGGAGAAGCATGTACAATGTGAATGACACGCATGCACGCACACCAAAAAAAATAAAAATTATGTACAAAGTAAGTGACCCCCCTGCATGTCATGTACAATGTCAATGACCCCTCTCCCTTTCCATATTTTTAAAACATAATTTAAAAAAAAATTATGTACAAAAATGCTGAAACCCCCCACCCCCCCAGGACAAAATGGGTGACCCCTTTAAAGTCATCATCTCACGCTCTCTCTCACACACACACACACACAATCACACACACACACACACACACACACACACACACACACACACACACACACACACACACACACACACAGCCATAAATTATGAACGGTCCCTTATCAGACGTGGAATTAGTATGGTGTTCGCTCGCTTTGTAAATCTCCAAGCACCTGTACCAAAACATCACACTGAAATAGTGTAAATCCTTCTCCTCCATCTTCAATGGTGCTGCAGTGACACTGAGAAAAGGTTTTCAGCTTGTAATTTTTCTTTAAATGACATTAAGAAATTGATGAACCAATAGGTATGATTCTAAATCATCTGTCAACACAACTCCAGCTTTTTCTTGATGTATTTTCTTCGTTTTGAATGCATCAAATGATTAATCAAATTTGGTCACACTTTGTTGTCATCGTTTGGTAATGAAACTCAGCTTGTTAGCTTTCTAGTATGATCAGCAACAAAATAGACTTTAGTGATGAGTGCTGCTCTGTGTCCTAATGTAGATAAGATTGTTCTATGAATCAACCTGGTGAACTAGATGCACGGTTAATTATCTGTTTTCATGTTTGTTTATTTATTTTAGTTCCCAAGTCTTGTGAATAGCTGTGTTTCCTACCCGAAATTATTGTTCAATATTTTTGTGTGAAGGTGGTTGTTTCAGATGAACTGGAAGGAAACAAATGTCATTTTTTCACCAGTTATTAATAAATCATACAGAAATATTATAGACGAACAGAGAAAAACATCAGCCTATCTACTTACTAATACATTTTGTGTATGTTACAATTACTTGAAGAGTTCCCTTTAAACCTGGTTTCTCTGCTCTCTTTAAAGTGATTTCTCTGCTTGTATTATCGTTTTTGATTGTTACTGTTTCGGAAGCATCATGAAACATTCTAACAGGTGTCGTGGTGTTATCATCGATCATATCTGTGACCAGAAGGCCTGCCATATTCATTTGAGAAGTCCGTTTCAGTGATAACACCCAAACAGAAACTGCTGGATAAGGATATTCAGATGTCATTCTATATAAATACATTTGGCATGAGAATCAGTTTTGTGTGTAAAGGGATAAAATGTCCCTATAATAAGTATAGTAGTCTACACTCACAGTTCAGGCAGTGGGGTTGCCTAGTGGTTTAAGTCTTCGCTCATAACGCTGTAGACCCGGGTTCGATTCCCAACATGGGTACAATGTGTGAAGCCCATTTCTGGTGTCCCCCTGCTGTGATATTGCTGGAATATTGCTAAAAGCGGCGTAAAATGACACTGGGTCAGTCGGTCCTTTTTCTGTGGTGTTGAAGATGACCCAAATTCCAACTTATTGGAATGCTCTTTATCAAACACACAAGTTGTTTCTTTGTTAACGATGATATTCTGGAAAGGAACTTGTTACTATGTTCCGCTGCAATGTAGCTAACAGGAGGCCTAGAACAAACACTGAAAATGTTCTATGAACAAGACAAAGTATTTTATCAAACATATGGAATATGCTAGTCTTTGTTTCAATTTCCAAGTGGTGTAGCCCAGTGGTTAAAGCAAAGACCTGGGTTTGATTCCCCACATGGGTACAATGTGTGAAACCCATTTCTGGTGTTCCCTGCCGTGATATTGCTGGAATATTGCTAAAAGAGGTGTAAAACTAAACTAAACTTTAATTTCCAAGAGTATCAAATTCATGTTTGCCATTTGAAATGAGAGGTACTAAAACTAGTTGTACTCCTCCTTTCAGTTCGAGACAATTATCAATTGAACAATAATTACTGTGAGCATATGGTTTTGGTGACATGTGGCTTGTTGTGTTTTATTATTGTTTAGTTTGGACTTGTTATTGTGAGCCTGAAGACCCACGGGAGTTTTGAAAACACAAGGTTATTGAAGAAGATCACATGTGTGAAGGCTGTATGTTGAGACACTGGCTGATGTGTTTATTATATGACAGTTTCTGGCATGTCATGTTCATGTAACATAAAAATAAACTAACTTCTCTCCAGGACGTTCGTATTCCTTCCTATATTCCTTTGTACAATTTGGTGGTCAAAGACACCACAAATGCTCATGAAAAGTTGCCAGTTTTAAACATTCCACCCATGAAGATCCGGGTTAGAATTTGTCTTCAGCAGCTCATGCTTGTCGTAAGAGGTGGTTAACGGGATCGAGTGGTCAGACTCGCTGACTTGGTCGACTTGATTATAATTGATCATGATGCTCATGCTGTTGATCACTGGATTGTCTGGTCCAGACTCGAATATTTACAGACCGCCACAATATAGCTGGAATATTGCTGAGTGTGGCGTAAAACGACAAACAAAAATCTTTAGACAGGTCAGGAATTTGTGATCGTGGTGTAGCCTAGTGGTTTCGTTCCCACAAGCTGAGACACTGATACAAATGAAATACTGTTCAGACCAAGTCATGCTACTAGCCACATACATAGTGCTACATTTCACACATGCCCAGGGACGAGCTCAAATCCACACAATATTATTACTCTGTTTATTTGATCAATGGTCCAGGCAACTGACGTGAATATTTGGTCATGTACGTTCATGTTTTCCCACATTTTTCATGGGTAGCCTGTTGGTTAAAGTATTTGTTTGTCATGCCGACGGATGAGTTTCATTTCCCACAAGCTTATATTGTGTGAAGCCCACTTCTGGTGTCCCCGTCATAATATTGTGGGAATATTGCAAAAAACAGCATAAAACCCAACTTGCTGACGTTTGAGTGTGAGATGATGCTAAACAGGTGTTGACAAATCTTGAAACCTGGATCTGAACCCACTCTCAAAGGCTTCTGGCCTACCAAAGGGACACAACAGAGAAGTGAATGTTGTTTTTACACACCGATAACTGTATTGCAGGAACAAGAGCAGTCGGGGAACAAGTCTGGGCCAACCAAACCAGATGAAGACGGCATGAAGAACAAGGCCTGACAACACTGTATGATGACACAGTGTAGGATATGGCTCAAGAAGTCTGTTATTTAAGGAGATGGTTCAAGGCTTTTAGACTCAGAATGATCCCCATTGAGGACTACCGTTCATTACCGTATATAAGCCGACCCCCAATCTTGACACCTAAAATCAGTATCAAAATGGTATGTTTCCTACATAAGCTGACCCCCTGCGATGGGGTCCTAATCTCAGCCAACTGAGATGTCAAGACAAGTGGCAGTTACCGTCTTGGATGTAAACCGTAAGTATGTTTGGTGAGAATAGTATCTAATAAAGAGTTTACTGACCCTTAATGTGGGACCTGTGTGTGATATATTTTTAATATCATAACGATCGCTGTTGTTATTGAGACAGTAATGTTACTCGTACTCGTTACCCTTCTGCAGACTGCTTTTTTTGGTCCTCCAAATTCGGCTTATCTACGGTAATATACCGTATATCATGACATTGACGACCATATCCAACTTAAACCAAAGTCACATTCAAAACGTGCTAAACTAATGTCAACCAAATACACACATGCATACTTTTCTTGTTTACCAGTAAAAGGAGTCATGGGGAGTTTTTCTTTGTGATCATATGCATTAAGATTACATTCTCAAATAGAAAGTGTACATTATTGTCTCTTCTCTGCATACGACAATAACAATTAGTTGCGACATAAACAGGACATCTGTAGTGGGACAATTGAATATTGGAGGATGGACATTAGCTGAAAAGTATTAGAGGATGAGTGAGTGAGTTTGGTTTCACGCCGCTTTTAGCAACGCTTTTAGCAACATTCCAGAAATGTCACGGCAGGGGACACCAGAAATGGACTTCACACATTGTAGATGAACTTTAGCTGGAAATCAAACCCAGCTCTTCGCTGAAATGTATGGAAGAAGAACTTTAGCTAAAAGTATGGAAGATGAACTTTAGCTGAAAAGTATGGAAGATGAACTTTAGCTAAAAGTATGGAAGATGAACTTTAGCTGAAAAGTATGGAAGATGAACTTTAGCTGAAAAGTATGGAAGATGAACTTTAGCTGAAAAGTATGGAAGATGAACTTTAGCTAAAAGTATGGAAGATGAACTAAAAGTATGGAAGATGCTAGAAAAGTATGGAAGATGAACTTTAGCTGAAAAGTATGGAAGATGAACTTTAGCTAAAAGTATGGAAGATGAACTTTAGCTAAAAGTATGGAAGATGAACTTTAGCTGAAAAGTATGGAAGATGAACTTTAGCTGAAAAGTTTAGTTAGCTAAAAGTATTGAAGATGAACTTTAGCTGAAAAGTATGGAAGATGAACTTTAGCTAAAAGTATGGAAGATGAACTTTAGCTAAAAGTATGGAAGATGAACTTCACCTTAAAGTTATTGGGAGGGCTACAGTTCAATATTCAGACAATTGGAGGCTTTCACCATTGACATGTTTGATGAATCTGACATTCATCATTTGTGTTAAGCAAGGTTACACACACATTCACAAATAACAAGAGAAAACGGAAATTGAATTGTTTTATTCCTGAAGACCCCATCATTTCATGGTATATAGTCCTCATGGCTTGTTGAATCAGTGGAGTATATGATTGCCAATATGTACACATTGTACCACTACTTGACCTCATCCACGGTGATCAAGGGCAGGTTATCTCATCAATGGTGGGATTATTACCCTATAGACACTACACATATCAAACCTTGTTTCGATCACAAAAGCTTCTTAAAAACATTTCGACCGGCTCACCATGTTCAAAGTTACAATATGAATGGACAACAGTGTTTGTCTGAAACTTGATTGGTTGATGAACTCCTCAAATATTTATTAAGTTCCAGGATGTTAATCGAACTGAGGAATTAAATCAAACAGTATTTCACTGAACTGAGTAAGTCTGGCAGGCGTTACCGGGTAAGTAGCAAACATTGTCATAAGTCATCCCTTTACAATATAACAATGTAACAATGAAACATGGCTGGTGAAAGAGCAAAATTTCGTACGAGAAGAATGCAACTTACATCAGACAATAGAATAAATAATACCATATGTTTTCCATGACATATTTTCAGACAAACTTCCATAAAAGACTGACTATATTACAAGAGAATTACTGTTAGAATTGTAGAAGGATAAATTAGCAGCTATAACTTCTAGTCATATATATTTGAGGAAATAAAATGAAATAGTTGTATGTTCACTGTGAATACAGAAATGCTGCCTATGTGAACATTATGCAAATACACAAATATACACAACCTTACAACTAGGGCGAGGTGAATTTTGTACCAAATTATGCAGAACTAGCTTAATTTCTACATAAAAAATATATGATAAAAATCAACATTTTTAATTTTTTAACTGGAAAAATAGAAATATTTCTTTTCCTCAATATCCCCCTCACCTTTTGTCACCATTTACATTTTTGTGATTAATTCTAAAAAAGAAATATTTCCTCGAAAAAAACAGACTTGGATCAAATATGATTGAAGTTCCATTTTTAATTGTTTTTACAATATATCAAGTTTGACGAAGCTAAAGTCAATTCTGCCATTGTTTGAAGACGGTAAACAATGGACAGTTGAATTTCCAAATCGTGGCTAAACAAGAGACAATACTGAGAGAATCCAAGAAGACAATATTGCAAGTGTCCCAATAGTTGTAAGGTTAAATGATAATCAACATACTTCAGAGAAATAATGACTTAAATTCCAAGATGAATGAGCACATTTGGTTTTGAAAAACCTCATAAAATATTTGAGTTTGGAAAATATATATTTGGAGCAATAATCTTCTGCAAGACAGTATTTGCGTCTAATTCTACACCAGTATTTTAAGTATACACAATCAAACATGGTCGTTCCACGTCCTCAATTTGATCTGTTCTATTGTTCTGTCAGTTCACGTCAATTACGTGTTGACAATTACGTGTTGACAATAGCACTAGAAGGTGACAGAATAAAAACATGATTGCACGGTTCACAAACTGTATTTTAATATTGTTTGTAAAGATAACATCCTCCACAAACTTTCTCTACATCTTTCAAAAGTAATATCTAACGTTTGTTTTATCTTTGATGTTTGTAATAACTGACATTAACCTGAGGTAAAGTGACCCAAATCAAAACACGCTGTCATTTCGTCAACATAAACATTGTTTCCTTCAAATAAATGAGCATTCTGAAATATTTCCAATATATCACAATGTTTCCTTGACAAGGCAACATTAAAAGAACAACAGGAAAACAAATCCATCTAAATGACACATACCTCCATTACTGAAGAAAACGTTAACGACAGAGCTACTGCTACTCCAGAGGATCCTATTAAAATAGGCCCCTGCACTTATGCTTGTTGACTGGCTAGTCAGACTCTGCCTTGTTCGACTATCGTCTTCAGGCAGTTGAGGACATTATTTACAATATCAACCCTGATTTACTTGGCTGAACTATAAAGCCTTTCAGAGAGGGGGACAAATGTTACGTCATATTTTCGATATAAAACACAGATGCTAGTACTTGTTTGAGCAAGTCCTATTAGTGATTGGAACCCACTCTCTCAGTGCTTGATAACGGTGTTACTATCTACACTGAAACATCATATTCATTGCAATAAAGAAGTTGACTATCCATAGAACTTGGTTTTCCTTCATCTTTACAACTTCTAAAATGCCTCTCAAAAAAGTAATCGGAAATACTTGGGATTTTTAAGCTTACAGTGCGAGTGAGTGAGTTTAGTTTTACGCCACTTTTAGCAATATTCCAGCAATATCTTGGCAGGGGACACCAGAATTAGGCTTCACACATTGTACCCATGTGGGGAATTCAACCCAAGTTTTCAATGTGACGAGCGAACGTATTAACCACTTGACTACCCCCACCGCCCCAAGTTTGCACTGTGGTCTTTCACTTGATGCTCAGCAATGTTCCACTTAGTGGCAGTCCGATTAATTGAAATAATCGAAGATGGTCGGAAGTATCTAAATGACCAAGCAATCGATCATGTTTTCTCATAATCGAACACAAACAATTCTGGAACACTTGTTTTCATTAAGAGTATTTTTCATTTCATAAGCACTACAAGCTCGTTCCAAGTCATGATTGAATTTATCTTATAGACTCCAAGAAATTTATGTTCCTAACATACTAGTCATCCTTTAAAGATGCGAAATCTTGCCCCCAAAACACCTCAAAAACAACGTTTCTTCCTTATTTTTTGTGTGCATTAACAAATTTCATAAATGATGCTAACCAATTATTTTTGATGGCTGATCGGTTGTAATGAACCAATCATCAATTATGAGATTTTAACCAATTCCCAACACTAGTGCCACTACATCCTCACTGATCCAGGGCTTTGAAATATTTTCCCGAAATACAAACTGACAAAGTGACCCCTCCTACCCGAACTGGATACCTCAATGCAATCAATTCTCACACAACATCCTACAGTCAAATCAAGCATTATCTACAGAAAATGTACAATACAAAATAGAATAAATCATGACAGTAAAGCTGAAAGAAACATTTCAGTCAAGGTATGTGTCATCCAAATCTGAATGTTTTTCAGACAAGTCTGTACACCCACATTCAAACAATATGCCCTATACTGAGTTTGAACCACAGGTTGGAGATCTTATAAAAGATAACAGTTTAAACTTAAAGCCAGACAATGTTTTCTTGTTTTCAGATGAATATTCTTTATTTAAATTTCCATTTGATTACAAATTTCAACATTATTTTATTAATAAGTTGTTGTTTTTTTCAAGTGGGTTCAAAGTTAAAGAAAAGTAATCTGAAACTAACAATGATATTTCCGCTAAAAACAGTATGAAAACAAGAAATCAATGTGTGGCCTAATAATCTGCACCAAGGAGGGTAATGTTACTTAATAGAGGACGCTTCCACACTTGTTGTGGACATTTGTAGAATTCCACAGTAAAAGTGTCTTTGACAATAAGCAATAATCTGAATTTTCAAAATTTATTTGGATATGTCAAAACATGTCCGAATCATAATTGATAATGTTTATTGTTTCCAGATGACATGTCCTCAAGTTTTGAAAATCCAGTTGTTGTTTTTTAAATCCACATATCGTACATATATTGGTTCAGTATTCAACCATTTTTACCATCCACCTGTGAGTTCAACATTCACTGTTTAGAGCACCACTCACCCATAAGGACATAAGTGAGTTTAGTTTTACGCTGCTTTCAGCAATATTCCAGCAATATCACAGTGGGGGACACCAGAAATGGGCTTCACACATTGTACCCATGTGGAGAATCAAATCCCAAAAGGATAAGTCTACCAGCCACTCATAGTTGTCCTCATAATGATACTCTTCAGTAGCACAGATATTAAACGGCTTGACCAAGTTTCTATGTCAACTCTCTCTAATCGCGAGTAAATAAAAAGATCACGTAGACCATAGATATGTATTGTTGGTTACGATTTTGTCAGTATTGACAAACTTTATGGATAAACCTTTTTACTTTGCGGTTGCCAAGTTTCAATACACACTTTTGTCAAGCAGCAATATTGTACTTCCCAACTTCTAAATTGCCACCCAAAAATGTTACGATTTTACATACCCAAGGTAACACTACACTCCTTGCGCAGTTCAACATCATAATTAGTATATTGAATTAAAAATGATTAACAAGGAGCATCTGTGAGACCAGCTGCTCCTTCAAAGATAACAAAGGCAACGTTTGATGAATATCCACTATCAGGGCTGGTATGGCGAAAAGAAGATAGCTATATATGAATATGTCAAGCAAATCTGATGTATGTCTTATGGCACAACGGTTATGAAAATATGAAAGAGTGAGAATGAAAATAAGCAGCACAGGTTCAGAAATAAATTGCCTCAGACTACTGAAACAGGTCAGAATTTAAAATTGAAAAAGTACCATAATTACAGTAACTTTGGATTCATTTTTTGTCTTAAACAGTAAAACAGAATTTCTCAGAAACTGATAAATGTCATCTTGACTTCAAGTTACCAAGGTTTGACCAGTGAGAAATTGGAGTTTTACAAAGCTTTTAGCAATATTCCAGCAATATAATGACATGGGACACCAGAAATGGGCTTCACACATTGTACCCAGGTGGGACATCGAAACCAATGCTTTCGGCTTAACGAGTGAATGCTTTACCCACAAGGCTAGCCCTTACTCCATGAAAATAGTATTAATTTAATAAGCACTGGATCATCAATGTGTTGTGCTGGGTTTCAGAATGGTTCAAATTCTATATTCCTGGACTAATTATTTTTCAGAACATCCGGAACATTCCTTTCCGAGTTGGTACTGACACACAATGTCCTGTTACAAATTGAGAAAATCAGTGCTTCCTGAAAAACAGAAAAATCCCCATTGTGTCATCTTGAGTTTCAGACCAGTGGGGTTCTGACATCCGACATGAGTTGCTGCCAGCATCTCCGCAGATGACAAGGCTCAGACGGCCATCACGTGATTTCATCTGTGTGTTGGTCAGTTCAACTGCAGAGATAGTAAATCATGACCACTACACTGGTCAAGGTCATGTGTTGCCATCACAGACAGGGTTCTACCTTGGTCTGTTCCAACTTCGCAAAAGAAGATAAAGTCTTTTTGACTATAGTTGATCTGTTACACCAGGACACATTAACTGGGAACACTGATTGTTTTTAGAACAGACATGTAACTAGATGTTATGTCCATTGTTCAATTGTACCAATTTCATACCGACATTTGGTAACCATGGAGACATAAAGTTGCCAATATGTGTACTCTAAGTATCTGCATATATATAACTGACAAAGCTGACCCACTTCACTATTACATGTGACAATATCAATTTATTTCACTTCACAGTAACAGGAGTTATAAGCATTTTAGAGATGACCTATTGGTCAACTTCTCGAGACTTCTCAGTCAATTCCACTGGACTTGACTTCTCAATCCAATCCAATGGTCAACTCCTCTAGACTTCTGTCCCATGGGTCAACTCCAAAAGACTTGACTTCTCAGTCCATCCCACTGGTCTGATCTCTTGGTCAACTCAACAACACAACTTCTCCATCCATTCCACCGGTCTGATCTCTTGGTCAACTCAACAACACGACTTCTCTGTCAGCTCCAGCAGACTTGACATCTTTCTCAATCCAAAGCAGTTGTCTGGTCTCTTAGTCAACTCCACCCAGCTTGCCTTCCCTAGTAAACCCTTGAATGCCCTCAAGAGAACTCAAATGCTATACCCACTACTGTCAAAAGAAAAAGACTGCATCAAAGTACTTCAGACCCTGTAAAACTTTCACTATCAGTCAAATTTACCAATAAACTCAGTTGTCTCCCTTAGGGCAAGGTTAACTGCCTCCCTTAGTTGTCGCCCTTAGTGTTCCAGTCGATCAAGGCAGTTAAAGAAAGTCGTTTTAGAGTGAGTAAGGTGGGTTCAACACCACTTTCAAAATAGTTGTAATGTCCAAATGTGTGTCCGCTTAATGAGGGAGGAAAGCTCACAATGGTGAAGGTCTCAGATAACGGAGGAAAACCAAGTTCTATGGATAGTCAACTTCTTTATTGCAATGAGTGCAACATTTCGGCGTAGGCACTAACACCGTTATCAGGCAAGTGAACATTGTGAAGATAATGGTGTCAGTACCTACGCCTAAACGTCACTCATTGCAATAAAGAAGTTGACTATCCATAGAACTTGGTTTTCCTTCATCTTTACAACTTCTAAAATGCCTCTCAAAGAAGTCTCAGACATGTTCTACTTTTGTGAAACCTGGTGAGGTGCTGACAAACTTAGAAACATAATTAGGGCGAACTGGCACTGGAGCCCACAGAAAACAGGGTTTCCTGGAGTGCACAAGGGAAGCAACTCTGCGAATTGCATCCCCTTTGACTACAAGACCAATTGCCCATAGCAATTTGAGATCTACGGTTCTTTGTAACAGGCCTTCAACAGTTGCCGCCGACAAAGACTGTAATAAACCAATCTCAACTACACAATGATGCCTTGCAGGAATAAATTCTTCTTTAAATCATGTTCTTGTAAAAAACTCACATATACACTTTGATAAATATTCCAGGACTATACAAGCTACAGCGAGGTCCTAACATCATGGAGGCTACATCGTAATCACCAAAGTCAATGAATGAATACGCATGGAACAGTACGCCAGTTATATCACGGACTTGTTATCAATAAAAGATCTTGTTGTCATGGTAACAGTGTAAGAATCCATAGCGAGTGAGTTAAAATTGCAGCAATATCATGAAGAATCCAGAGCACTATTAAATGACCTTTTCATAGAATTAAATTTATCATGATGTCTGACTTAAGATTGGAAGTATTCGCTGCTATCTGGAACCCATGTTCCGCCTTGTTCTCAATCTAGACATCAGTGTGTAGGCAAAGAAGGACTTCGCAAGTTTAGTCCTCTTGAAAGCTCTTATTGTAAATGATGTGCGTTCTCAACGGTAACCATAGCAACTAGGAGAAATTGATAAATGTTTTGCCTTAGACAACCACACCAATGTGTATGATCTATATTGGCAGGGGTTTCATCAGTTGCTTAGCAACAGGCAACCATGTCTGGATCTTGAGACAGGACCAGACATCCATCTGTGTCACGAAGATCCATGAACGGCCACAAAGTTACGCTGTGAAAATTACTGGGCCAAGTGTTTACATAAGACATGGACTGTCAACCAATCACAACTGCCAAACCACATTGAATAACCCAGAAGGCACACTTCAGTTGATCACATGACACTATATGACCATATTAGGTCATTTCAAGAGAAGATCTGTAAAATGGCTGAGAAAGTGAGGACATCTGATTGGTTGATGGGAGGAGTGGATTCTTCATGTCTACCGACTCTGGGAATCTGTTATGGTAGTAATCCAACTTCAGATAGCGGACAGTCACAAGGCGACCTGGCAGCACAAGAAGATATGGTTATAATAGAGTGAGTGAGTGAGTTTAGTTTTACGCCGTACTCAGCAATATTCCAGCCAATTGAGTTTGGATCAGACAATCCAGTGATCAACAGCATGGGCATCGATCTACACAATCGGGATACAATGACAATGTGCCAATCACGTCAGCGAGCATGGCCACCCGATCCCGTTAGATGCCTCTTACGACAAGCATGGGTAACTGAAGATCAATTGTAACCCGGATCTTCACGGGTCGGTTAAGACATAACTGAGAATGAAGCCTAGCAACAGGACTAGACAGTTACACTACATAATAGTTAAAAAACATATGAAACAGCAACATGATTAGACAAGGATACACATGACAGAGTTGAGAATGTAACCTAGCAACACAACCAGAAATAGTCTGCCACTTAAAACTGGTTCATAAAATAGATTTTAAAAAAACCCAACTTCGTTACGAGTGTGCCTAGATGGGGTCATCTGACCACCAGGTCCTTGTTGAACACACTACTTAGAGACACATATTACTGTGGTTGTGATCAAGTGCGTGAATACTTACGATCAAACCACCATCCATGCAAAGCCTGTCTTGCTCGTCCAGCAGCCTCGCAGCAGGAACACTTCATGTAGACACAGCCCTACAACAGCAAAACACATGTGAGTGATGACAACGTCACAGCAGGAACACTTCATGTAGACACAGCCCTACAACAGCTAAACACACGTGAGTGACGACAGCCTCGCAGCAGGTACACTTCATGTAGACACAGCACTGCAACAGCAAAAGACACATGAGTGATGACAGCCTCACAGCAGGAACACTTCATGTAGACACAGCCCTGCAATAGCAAAACACACGTGAGTGACGACAGCCTCGTAGCAGGAACACTTCATGTAGACACAGCCCTGCAACAGCAAAACACATGAACACTTCATGTAGGCACAGCACTGCAATAGCAAAACACACGTGAGTGACGACAGCCTCGTAGCAGGAACACTTCATGTAGACACAGCCCTGCAACAGCAAAACACATGAGTGACGACAGCGCCACAGCAGGAACACTTCATTATGTAGGCACAGCCCTGCAACAGCAAAAACACATGAGTGACGACAGCCACAGCAGGAACACTTCATGTAGACACAGCCTGCAATCAAAATGGTGGCGACAGCCTCACAGCAGGAACACTTCGTATGAGACACAGCCCTGCAACAGCAAAACACATGCGTGAGTGCCTGACAGCCCGCAATAGCAGGAACACTTCATGTAGACACAGCCCTGCAACAGCAAAACACAATGCGTGAGTGACGACATGAGGACACGTTTTACAGCCTCACAGCAGGAACACTTCGTATGTAGACACAGCCCTGCAACAGCAAAACACACATGAGTGACGACAGCCTTACAGCAGGAACACTTCATGTAGACACAGCCCTGCAATAGCAAAAGACACGTGAGTGACGACAGCCTCGTAGCAGGAACACTTCATGTAGACACAGCCCTGCAACAGCAAAACACATGAGTGACGACATCGTCACATGCTGCGTCGGGACAGTACAGTAACCCTCTGGTATGTGCAAGTGTGCATCTCAAGTGACAGTCCAGGTACCGATGACTTATGATGGCATACAATCTACCACGCCAAGGCGCCCAACAACCCACTGGTAAGTTGCATATTTCAGAATCCAAACATGGGTTACTGAAGACCAATTTACATCCAGAATCCAAACATGGGTTACTGAAGACCAATTTACATCCAGAAACCAAACATGGGTTACTGAAGACCAATTTACATCCAGAATCCAAACATGGGTTACTGAAGACCAATTTACATCCAGAATCCAAACATGGGTTACTGAAGACCAATTTACATCCAGAATCCAAACATGGGTTACTGAAGACCAATTTACATCCAGAATCCAAACATGGGTTACTGAAGACCAATTTACATCCAGAATCCAAACATGGGTTACTGAAGACCAATTTACATCCAGAATCCAAACATGGGTTACTGAAGACCAATTTACATCCAGAAACCAAACATGGGTTACTGAAGACCAATTTACATCCAGAATCCAAACATGGGTTACTGAAGACCAATTTACATCCAGAATCCAAACATGGGTTACTGAAGACCAATTTACATCCAGAAACCAAACATGGGTTACTGAAGACCAATTTACATCCAGAATCCAAACATGGGTTACTGAAGACCAATTTACATCCAGAATCCAAACATGGGTTACTGAAGACCAATTTACATCCAGAAACCAAACATGGGTTACTGAAGACCAATTTACATCCAGAATCCAAACATGGGTTACTGACTCACCTTAACCAATTTACATCCAGAAACCTAACATGGGTTACTGAAGACCAATTTACATCCAGAATCCAAACATGGGTTACTGAAGACCAATTTACATCCAGAATCCACACATGGGTTACTGACAACCAATTTACATCAAGAATCCAAACATGGGTTACTGACGACCAATTTACATCCAGAAACCAAACATGGGTTACTGAAGACCAATTTACATCCAGAATCCAAACATGGGTTACTGAAGACCAATTTACATCCAGAAACCAAACATGGGTTACTGACGACCAATTTACATCCAGAAACCAAACATGGGTTACTGAAGACCAATTTACATCCAGAAACCAAACATGGGTTACTGACGACCAATTTACATCCAGAAACCAAACATGGGTTACTGATCCAGACCAATTTACATCCAGAATCCAAACATGGGTTACTGAAGACCAATTTACATCCAGAATCCAAACATGGGTTACTGAAGACCAATTTACATCCAGAAGACCAATTTACATCCAGAATCCAAACATGGGTTACTGAAGACCAATTTACATCCAGAATCCAAACATGGAACCAATTTACATCCAGAAACCAAACATGGGTTACTGAAGACCAATTTACATCCAGAATCCAAACATGGGTTACTGAAGACCAATTTACATCCAGAATCCAAACATGGGTTACTGACTGATTTATCCAGAAATTCACATCCACATCCAGAATCCAAACATGGGTTACTGACGCACCAATTTACATCCAGAATCCAAACATGGGTTACTGAAGACCACCAATTTACATCCAGAAACCAAACATGGGTTACTGAAGACCAATTTACATCCAGAGAACCAAACATGGGTTACTGAAGACCAATTTACATCCAGAAACCAAACATGGGTTACTACCAATTTACAAGAAACCAAATTTGAAGACCAATTTACATCCAGAAACCAAACATGGGTTACTGAAGACCAATTTACATCCAGAATCCAAACATGGGTTACTGAAGACCAATTTACATCCAGAATCCAAACATGGGTTACTGAAGACCAATTTACATCCAGAAACCAAACATGGGTTACTGAAGACCAATTTACATCCAGAATCCAAACATGGGTTACTGAAGACCAATTTACATCCAGAAACCAAACATGGGTTACTGAAGACCAATTTACATCCAGAATCCAAACATGGGTTACTGAAGACCAATTTACATCCAGAAACCAAACATGGGTTACTGAAGACCAATTTACATCCAGAATCCAAACATGGGTTACTGAAGACCAATTTACATCCAGAAACCAAACATGGGTTACTGAAGACCAATTTACATCCAGAATCCAAACATGGGTTGAAGACCAATTTACATCCAGAAACTGAAGACCAATTTACATCCAGAATCCAAACATGGGTTACTGAAGACCAATTTACATCCAGAATCCAAACATGGGTTACTGAAGACCAATTTACATCCAGAATCCAAACATGGGTTACTGAAGACCAATTTACATCCAGAATCCAAACATGGGTTACTGAAGACCAATTTACATCCAGAAACCAAACATGGGTTACTGACGACCAATTTACATCCAGAATCCAAACATGGGTTACTGAAGACCAATTTACATCCAGAATCCAAACATGGGGACCAATTTACATCCAGAATTACATGGGTTACTGAAGACCACCAATTTACATCCAGAATCCAAACATGGGTTACTGACGACCAATTTACATCCAGAAACCAAACATGGGTTACTGACGACCAATTTACATCCAGAATCCAAACATGGGTTACTGAAGACCAATTTACATCCAGAATCCAAACATGGGTTACTGACGACCAATTTACATCCAGAAACCAAACATGGGTTACTGAAGACCAATTTACATCCAGAATCCAAACATGGGTTACTGAAGACCAACAGAACTTGCTCCATTTACAGCTAACTAATAATCGGAAAACAAGTTAAAAAGCAACAATTTGTCAACAGGACTTACCTCCCTTGACTCCTTGTCGACAAAGATGTGGAAGATGCTGTCTATGTTTTTACACTTCTCCAGCAGTGCGTCCTGAATACTGACTTCCCAGGCCGGATCCTCGCCCTCACTACACAAAACACCATCAGTAAGCTACTAGACAGTAGTACTTAGACACTGTACTTAGACATCCAATACATCAACATGGATCTAAGTGTTGATTTCAGAAGAGCGTAAGATCCTATTTATCATACAAGTGCTATCTCCAAGAAGATATCTTCTGTGGAATCTAGTTTAGGAAATAATAACATGTCTTCAACGTAACAATGTAAACTAAAATTGAGTGAGTGAGTGAGTTTAGTTTACGCCGCACTCAGCAATATTCCAGCTATATGGCGGTGGTCTGTAAATAATCAAGTCTGGACCATGTTAAATAAAACGGCCAACCAGATAACTATCAAAAATGTGTCAAAATCTCCAAAAATGAATTTAGGGGGAAAAACCAAAGTGATGTATGTTAAAAACGTGAAACTGGATCTGTGAAGATTACTGGGCAATAGTAATACGGAAGCAAGGATGCAGGATAAGACGCAACGTCAAAGAGACACCAGCACTTCTTGTTTTGTTTGTTGTTTAACACCACACTCAGCAATATTCCAGCCAAATGGCAGCAATCTGTAATAAATCGAGTCTGGACAAGACAATACAGTGATCAATATCATGAGCATCTATCCATGCTGTTGGGATATGATGACATGTTCAGAAGAAAAACGAATTCTAACCCAGATCTTCACATGAATGGAAACAATGTTCACAGTGTCAGGTAAAAACATCTTGAGAGAACTAAAGGGAATGGTCTATAAAGTACAAAGATCAAACCAAGGTCCAAATTTTAGAAAGAATCACCAAAAATAAGAAGACATGGTCATCAATATCCCATGCCAGTGTTCTGTTCCTATTTGGTTCCAACTTTTTAACTCCACTATGACATTCATGTCTTGAAAACACATACCACATTTGGTTTCCGTATCTATAACGGTTACTGAGAAAATCTGTTCCCATTGGGGATACCGTGCACTAAGTCAAGAAACGCATAAGTCTGTAAAGAATTGTAACTTGGTTAACAGTTTTAAACTCCACCAAGGCATTTGTGTCCTGAAAACACATACCACATTTGGTTTCCCTATCTATGATGGTTTCTGAGAAAATCTGTTCCCATTGGGGATACCGTGCACTAAGTCAAGAAACGCATGACAAGAGCCATAACTCGGTTATAAATTGTAACACGGTTTCCATTTTCAAACTCAATCAAGGCATTCATGTCCTGAAAACACATACCAAATTTGGTTTCACTATCTACAACGTTTTTTTGTGAAAAATCTGTCCCCATCATCTCGGATGGATGGACGTTCAAACCTATATCCCCCTCCCTCTTTACAGCAGGGTACAATAAACAGTCTTGAAAGCTTTAAGTCTCGATAAGCAATGTACCAGCTGCCTGTAAGTGACATGTATTTCAGTATGTACTTACACGTCAGCATCAAACATGTTGCGTATCTTCAGACATGGAGTTGGACAATACATCACTGTGTTGGAGCTGTCGTCATTGTGTTCGCCAAATGCTGGGAACAAAACCAATCACAACTTAGAAAGTGTTTACAAATGTGGGGCCAATTTAATCATGTTTAAACTTTGGTAACAGTATTAAAATGTTGACAAGCATAACAAGGCTCTTCTTTGCCCAATAATATGAGGGAACGTAACATCATTGAAAAGGATTAGTTCTGTAATCACTTTATCTGGTAACAGTGGTAACATTACCATGATTATAAAGATGTAGAACAAAACGTATCTGGTAACAGTGGTAACATTACCATGATTATAAAGATGTAGAACAAAACGTATCTGGTAACAGTGGTAACATTACCATGATTATAAAGATGTAGAACAAAACGTATCTGGTAACAGTGGTAACATTACCATGATTATAAAGATGTAGAACAAAACGTATCTGGTAACCATGGTAACATTACCATGATTATAAAGATGTAGAACAAAACGTATCTGGTAACCATGGTAACATTAAAATGATTATAAAGATGTAGAACAAAACATATCTGGTAACAGTACCATGATTATAGAGATGTAGAACAAAACGTATCTGGTAACAGTGGTAACATTACCATGATTATAAAGATGTAGAACAAAACGTATCTGGTAACCATGGTAACAGTACCATGATTATAAAGATGTAGAACAAAACGTATCTGGTAACCATGGTAACATTACCATGATTATAAAGATGTAGAACAAAACGTATCTGGTAACCATGGTAACATTAAAATGATTATAAAGATGTAGAACAAAACGTATCTGGTAACAGTACCATGATTATAGAGATGTACAACAAAACGTATCTGGTAACAGTGGTAACATTACCATGATTATAAAGATGTAGAACAAAACGTATCTGGTAACCATGGTAACAGAACCATAATTATAAAGATGTAGAACAAAACGCATCTGGTATGATGTTTGACATTTTCTTGACCCTTAACCATGACCTACCTTGACCTTGCCAAACTTTGCCTCCATTTGGAGAATTCTGTAAAACAGAAAACATTATCAGGCTTTACTTGATTTTCTTCAATAAGTTGGTTTCGGGAATATTTTTTTAATATATACAATGCATCATATATTATGTAAATATGCCATTTTGTCAATTCATTACAAGAGATACATCAGTTGTGAATAAAAGTAGATTTTAACTTAAACCATTAGAGATAATCACACAACATTTTTTACCCAGTATACCTGTTCTCAGAAAAGATATTGCAATACGCATCATTTGAGAAGTGTACTGCTAGTCCTAGCTAACAGGTTCTGTACCACCTACATGTATCACTAGTCCTAGCTAACAGGTTCTGTACCACCTACATGTATCACTAGTCCTAGCTAACAGGTTCTGTACCACCTACATGTATCACTAGTCCTAGCTAACAGGTTCTGTACCACCTACATGTATCCATCTCCAGACTCGGAACTCCTCGCCTTCGATGGTCTGTTCCTCTAGACGGATGCGAGATTCATTCTTCTCAATGAACTGTACCGCCTTATCCCAGATTGGCTGCAACTCCTTCCTGTAGCAAACATCACAAACATCATCACCATCATCATAATACCTGGTAATGATAATAACCATCCTCCTCAAAAAGATTGGTTGGTTAACGCAGCACCCAGCAATATTACAGCTATATGGCGGTGGTTGGTAAATAATCGAGTCTGGACCAGACAATCCAGTGATCAACAGCATGAGCATCGATCTAGGCAACTGGGATATGATGACATGTGTCAACCAAGTCAGCGAGCCTGACCACCCGATCGCGTTCAACGCCTCTTATGACAAGCATGGGTTACTGAAGCCCAATTCTTACCCAGATCTTCACAGGCATCCTCCAAAAGACCATTTTCAGATTAGGTGAGTAAGTTTGGTGGTGTATGCAATTTCCACACCAACCCGAATGATAAATGATGAATGATTCTGTTTCAATTATGCATTACCTCAATGATAATACTGCTACATAACTGATTTATGAGTACACAAATGTTTCTGCTCACAATAAGTCATGTAGAAAGAAATATATTACTTACAATCACTTACTTCCAAATCAAAACACACGATGACAGCTATAAGATGTTGGGAGGATATATTGTTACCTACACCGGGTGCAACCTGTTGCTTGTATTAGAGGATGACAGCTATAAGATGTTGGGAGGGTATATTGTTACCTGCACCGGGTGAAACCTGTTGCTTGTATTAGAGGATGACAGCTATAAGATGTTGGGAGGATATATTGTTACCTGCACCGGGTGCAACCTGTTGCTTGTATTAGAGGATGACAGCTATAAGATGTTGGGAGGATATATTGTTACCTACACCGGGTGCAACCTGTTGCTTGTATTAGAGGATGACAGCTATAAGATGTTGGGAGGATATATTGTTACCTGCACCGGGTGCAACCTGTTGCTTGTATTAGAGGATGACAGCTATAAGATGTTGGGAGGATATATTGTTACCTACACCGGGTGCAACCTGTTGCTTGTATTAGAGGATGACAGCTATAAGATGTTGGGAGGATATATTGTTACCTGTACCTGGTGCAACCTGTTGCTTGTATTAGAGGATGACAGCTATAAGATGTTGGGAGGATATATTGTTACTACTGCACCGGTGCAACCTGTTGCTTGTATTAGAGGATGACAGCTATAAGATGTTGGGAGGATATATTGTTACCTACACGGGTGCAACCTTGTTGCTTGTATTAGAGGATGACAGCTATAAGATGTTGGGAGGATATATTGTTACCTACACGGGTGCAACCTGTTGCTTGTATTAGAGGATGACAGCTATAAGATGTTGGGAGGATATATTGTTACCTGCACCGGTGCAACCTGTTGCTTGTATTAGAGGATGACAGCTATAAGATGTTGGGAGGATATATTGTTTACCTGCAACCTGTTGCTTGTATTAGAGGATGGGTGAGGATATATTGTTAACCTGTTGCTTGTATTAGAGGATGACAGCTATAAGATGTTGGGAGGATATATTGTTACCTACACAGGGTGCAACCTGTTGCTTGTATTAGAGGATGACAGCTATAAGATGTTGGGAGGATATATTGTTACCTACACGGGTGCAACCTGTTGCTTGTATTAGAGGATGACAGCTATAAGATGTTGGGAGGATATATTGTTACCTGCACCGGGTGCAACCTGTTGCTTGTATTAGAGGATGACAGCTATAAGATGTTGGGAGGATATATTGTTTACAACTACACCGGATATATTGTGTATTAGAGGAACCTATAAGATGTTGGGAGGTTGCACTGGGTGCAACCTGTTGCTTTAGAGGATGACAGCTATAAGATGTTGGGAGGATATATTGTTACCTACACCGGGTGCAACCTGTTGCTTGTATTAGAGGATGACAGCTATAAGATGTTGGGAGGATATATTGTTACCTACACGGGTGCAACCTGTTGCTTGTATTAGAGGATGACAGCTATAAGATGTTGGGAGGACCTGTTGCTTGTATTAGAGGATGACGGTGCAACCTGTTGCTTGTATTAAGGATGACAGTTAAGATGGAGGATATATTGTTACCCTACACGGGTGCAACCTGTTGCTTGTATTAGAGGATGACAGCTATAAGATGTTGGGAGGATATATTGTTACCTACACCGGGTGCAACCTGTTGCTTGTATTAGAGGATGACAGCTATAAGATGTTGGGAGGATATATTGTTACCTACACCGGTGCAACCTGTTGCTTGTATTAGAGGATGACAGCTATAAGATGTTGGGAGGATATATTGTTACCTACACCGGGTGCAACCTGTTGCTTGTATTAGAGGATGACAGCTATAAGATGTTGGGAGGATATATTGTTACCTACACCGGGTGCAACCTGTTGCTTGTATTAGAGGATGACAGCTATAAGATGTTGGGAGGATATATTGTTACCTACACCGGGTGCAACCTGTTGCTTGTATTAGAGGATGACAGCTATAAGATGTTGGGAGGATATATTGTTACCTACACCGGGTGCAACCTGTTGCTTGTATTAGAGGATGACAGCTATAAGATGTTGGGAGGATATATTGTTACCTACACCGGGTGCAACCTGTTGCTTGTATTAGAGGATGACAGCTATAAGATGTTGGGAGGATATATTGTTACCTACACGGGTGCAACCTGTTGCTTGTATTAGAGGATGACAGCTATAAGATGTTGGGAGGATATATTGTTACCTACACGGGTGCAACCTGTTGCTTGTATTAGAGGATGACAGCTATAAGATGTTGGGAGGATATATTGTTACCTACACGGGTGCAACCTGTTGCTTGTATTAGAGGATGACAGCTATAAGATGTTGGGAGGATATATTGTTACCTACACCGGTGCAACCTGTTGCTTGTATTAGAGGATGACAGCTATAAGATGTTGGGAGGATATATTGTTACCTACAAGGTGCAACCTGTTGCTTGTATTAGAGGATGACAGCTATAAGATGTTGGGAGGATATATTGTTACCTGCACCGAGTGCAACCTGTTGCTTGTATTAGAGGATGACAGCTATAAGATGTTGGGAGGATATATTGTTACCTACACCGAGTGCAACCTGTTGCTTGTATTAGAGGATGACAGCTATAAGATGTTGGGAGGATATATTGTTACCTACACCAGGTGCAACCTGTTGCTTGTATTAGAGGATGACAGCTATAAGATGTTGGGAGGATATATTGTTACCTGCACCGGGTGCAACCTGTTGCTTGTATTAGAGGATGACAGCTATAAGATGTTGGGAGGATATATTGTTACCTATACAAGGTGCAACCTGGCACTGAAGGCAATGTCCACCAGCCATTTGCAACATGCATCAGTGCAGGTGTAAATACTGAGTGAGTGAGTGAGTGAGTATGGATCTACGCAGCTTTTGCAATATTCCAGCAACATCACGGTGGCGACACCAGAAATGAGCTTCACACTTTTTAACCATGTGGGGAATCGAACCCAGATCTTCGGCGTGATGAGCGAACGCTTTAACCATTAGGATACCCCACCATACCCCAGGATGTAAATAGCGAAATTGCACCATGCAAAGAGATATGTGAGTTGAATGTTTGACATCAACTTACCTCCTGGATGGAGGAAGCAGCTGGTCTCGCACGTGCTGCACCGCTAGAAACTGATGGTGACTTCCGTTCTCCCCTTGCGTCACATCATGGTGTCTTTTGAGAATATCTGGTTGAAGACAAATTTCACACTACAAGTAACTAGCGTTAGTGTTCAAACATGAGATGTTGCAATATTTTACAACTATGTTCGTTGTTAAACATCAAACTCCACAATATTCAATCAACGTTTTCCTAATTTTGGGTCTTTTTAGGGCAAATGACTGGGAATTAGGCCTTTTCCAGATTTTAACAAATTTAGGGTGTTTTACGGGTAAAACGTTCCAATTTCAGACTTTTTCAAGCGTGTGCAAACCCTGCCCTGGCAGTGCCTCACCTATGATCTCATCCACCATGGCGTACACGTGTCTCAGCTCCTGTTCCTTCGCCAGACTCCGCCACTTCATATACTTCAGCAGCATGACCACCAGCACACAGCCTACAACAGCAGCAGCAACAGCGTCTACATCATGTGGTGAATTCTCTTAAGGACCAACCACATTATGGGTGAAGGTGGGGGAAAGGGGAGCTTTACTGCATCCTGACATTTGACATCTGCTAACTCTTGGAAATTCATGAACAGATATCACCAACACACAAAAGATGTTAATCAGGGCAAATCTTGGAACTGAAAACATGATCAGCAGATCCTGGTGTGAAATTGGGTTTAAGGGACGCCACCATATGGGTAAAGATAATGTACTAGCCCATTATAACTTTATGAGTAGCCCACTGAGATTTTGAAGTTGGGAAGTATAATATAGATAAACTTTTGAATAACAGGCAGGGACCTTTATCTACCATATTTTGAGTCTTTTGGTATGACGCTTCGGTGATTGAACAGATTCTTGTAACCACTACACCACGGAGGCGGTTTAAACAGGGACGCAATTATAATAGAACACAATAGGAATACTTAGAAGTTGGGAAATATATAACTATTTTATCCATTGGCCATTTTCCTGGGCCTGCAGCCAGACTGAATACTAGGATTAAGATGGTGAAAGCCCCTGGGCATGAGCCAGACTGACCTAGGATTAAGATGGTGAAAGGATCGGTAGAAGGATCTCTGAAGGCGACAGAGGAGAGCCATAGAGGCGACTCTCGATTCCAAGTGCTTGATGTCCCCTCGTTTCATTGTGTCTTCTCCTTCCTTGTTCACAGGTCTGTAACAGAAACAACACTTGCCCTACAGAAACAGTGGCAATCAAATAGATACCTTGTTTCACTGTAAGCTACAGATTCCCTGGTTATGAGATTGCTACCGGTAAGTAATGTTGAGGTCCATGGGCTCAAGTTAGCTAGACAAAACACACACCAGTGCAACCTATTGCTGAAAGTCCAAACAACATTGATATTTGAACACATTCAGTACCTGTAACCTTTACTTACTATAGGATATGAATAATACCACGGTTATGAATAATTGGTCTGCTTTCTGGGGCTTGACATTATCAGACTCTAAGTCATCCATGATATTTCGTTTTACTTAGACTGTAGGTACTTGAAAGGTTGTTTGTTTGTTTGTTGTTTAACGCTGCACTCAGCAATATTCCAGCTATATGGCGGCAGTTTGTACGCAATCAAGTCTGGACCAGTGATCAACATCATGAGGATCAATCAAAGCAATTTTGATATGATGACCTGTAAACAAAATCAGCAAGCATAACCTTCCCGATCCTGTTAGCTGCCTCTTTTGACAGCATGGGTTGCTGAAGACCAATTCTAACACAGATCTTCACGTGTGTAGGTACTTGAACATTAAAAGCTGGGGAATGGAAACACATGATGATACTGTGTGAAGTGACCAGTAGTGTTTGGAATTGGTTTAAATCTCATAATTGATGATTGTTTCATTACAACCGATCAATCATTGAAAATAATTGGTTAGCGTCATTTATTAAATTTTTCTGGTTATGTTTGTTAATGCACAAAAAATAAAGAAAAAACATGTAGTTCTTTTGGTTTTTTTGCAAATTGCACAAAATGCATTTGCAAATTTCACATCTTTAAAGGATGACTAGTATGTTAGGAACATGAAGTTCATGGAGTCTTTAAAATAAATTCAATCATGAATTGGAAGAGCTTGTAGTGCTAATGAAATGTAACAGACAAAACCAACCTTGTGTAAAATATCGTAATTGCAAACAAGTGTTCCAAAATTGTTTGTGTTCGATTATGAGAAAACATGATCGATTGATTGGTCGTTTTGTCATTGCGACCAATCTTTGATTAATTCAATTAATCGGACCACCACTCGGACCACCACTAGTGACCAGGTGTACGTACCTTATGTTCCAGTGTGGATTCAGTACAATGTGATCCAGGCAGGACTCCACCAACTCATCAATGTCCTGAAAAGGTCACAAGAAACATTACAGAAACCTAAAACAACCAAGGACGATCTCAGCTCCTACACAAAAATGTAAACAGAAAATGATGGAGATGTCAAAGCTTTCTGATGTATTCTGGTGTTAGTGAGTGAATAAGGTTTCATGCCACTTTGCCCCAGCAATAGAATGGCAGGGACAAATATATATGGGTTTTGTACCTATATCATGTATATGGGGAATCTCATCTGAGTGATGAGTGAGCGCTTTGAGCATATACCTGTGACGTGGAAAGGCCTATTATTATCATTATTACGCACAACTTAACCACTAGGCTACATCACTGCCCCTGATATTCTGGACCAAACACCGTTTCACCCAGTTAATAATTCATTTCCTTGAAGCATCATATACGGTCCACATACTTCATGAGTATGAGACGTTATGTTCCTCCATCATCGGGCAATCGAACTGTATCCCTTCATGAATTCAATTCCTTATTAGAATCATTGCAGTCCTAGCATTGGACAGGTGAGGTGAGGTGAGGTGAGGTGAGGTGAGGTGAGGTGAGGTGAGGTGAGGTGAGGTGAGGTGAGGTGAGGTGAAACTGGGTTTAACGTCGTGCTTGAGAATATTTCGCTCATATGACGACGTGCATGCGTGTATATGTGTATGTGCGTCTGCTTGTACTAGCCCAGACTTAAGCTGGTTTTATAGTGCTAGCCCACTGAGATACCATGCCGCAGTGAAACATGAATACCCCACTCAGACACATTATAGTATACTGACTCCCGAGTCGACCAGTCCTTGTACACATTAATGCCGAGTGCCAGACAGGACCAACAGGTACCATATTTTAAGGCTTGACGCGATCGGGGATCGAACCTGCGACCTTCCGCTGTCCAGGCGGACGCTCTAACCACTACACCACGGAGACGGTCTAGCATTATACACATGGGTTATGTACATGATATGATGTATGTTTGTTGTTTAACGCCACACTCTGGAATATTCCAGCAATATGGCAGTGATCTGCATACAGGCAAGCCATGTTGTGTCAAACTCGTCTGGACCAAGGGAACAGTTCGACACACATCCGTCAGCATAAAAATAATGATAAATATAAGAAAATCAGCAGGGACCGAGAAATGAGTTCGCCACAACCGAGTATTCATCTCAACCAAGTTCGAGACATTGGGGTTCAACTGTATAATCAAATAAGGATCAGACAATCCTGTGATCAACAGCATGAGTGAGCTTGTGGGTATGGCTCTACGCCACTTTCAGCAATATCCCAGCAATATTACGGCAGGGGACACCAGAAATGGGTTCACACATTGTACTCGTGTGGGGAATGATCAATAGCATGAGCATAGATCTACACAATCGGGATAAAATGACGTGTCAAATATGGATGGCGATAATCTACAAGTATCATAAAGTTTTTCTCTCAGGAAATTTCTTATGTATCTAGAAATATTTTTAAAAAAAGCCTGCAATATTTGTGGGCTGACTAAACTTTGGAATATGTTGTTCTCATGGTAAAAATGTGTGATCACACCCTGATCACTGCGATCATACTATGTGTGATCATACTATCATATACATAAAGAATACTAAACGATGTCCCGTGTAATACCATACTTATGAAACAAGTGAATGGTTTCGCTCGTTAGATACCAATACCATTCACGAGTTTCATAAATATGGTATTATTCGGGACATAGCAAAACAATATCGAGCCAAGTACTTCTTTCCTAAGAATTCAACAAGTGTGATGACTCTCAACTTTCCGTGAGTCAAGCAAGGTCTAATATCATTGTGACAGAGGTATTAGCATTGTGACGTCATAACTGTAAACCACTTTGACGTCATACATACGGCATCAATGTGTAATAATGTTGTAATAACTGCTGTAACAGTGATATCTTCAACGGGTGAGTAATAAAACATATTCATTAACAGCTAGTCTGCCAAGCACAGACTTGATCGATTACAAGAAGCTATAACTTCTCTGTAATATTGCTGACAATAGCCTAAAGAACCTTCACGCTCTCGTTCATCCTATACCCACCTCGCCTTTACGTACCACATCATTGTTCTTGATGTTCTTCACGTAAGTTCTGAACTGTTCTACAGACATGTTCTTCTCCCACTCCTCTGCAGAGCCACACACAACTAGCCCTGTAGGGGAGAATACAGAGGGTTTAAAATATACATATGATTATTATCAATGAAGAGATGTTATATAGACTTTCCAAAGATTTCATAATTCATGTAACTAATTTCAGGTGTAGATGCACAAGTTTTCATGCAAAATGTACTGGCAAGACTCACCAATATATACCACAGATATCTCGTGTTTCTCACAATTTGCCACAGGTTCACCATACCTTTGAGTGAGTGAGTTTAGTTTTATGCCGCTTTTACCAATATTCCAGCAATATCACGGTGGGGGACACCAGGAATGGGCTTCACACATTGTACCCTTGTGGAGAATCGAACCCTGGTCTTCTATGCGTGACGAGCGAACATTTTAACCTCTAGGCTACCCCACCGCCCCCATACCTTGTTATGTTTTACACCATCTTTATAGTATGACCAGAAATTATTGAGAATTTTAGGAATATGTTTAATTGGATTTCTAGTATAAACAACCTTGACCATCTATCAAGTGCTTGGTTTCATTCAAGAGAGACAACTCCGTTAATCCTTTTTCATAAGTTCGCAAAGAGTTATCCCCCTTTGTTTACTTGCTAGCAGATAACATTTTCAGTGATCCTCAGTATGGATGATTTAGACTATTAGAGAAGAGGAAGTTGATTTTAGAGTATTATAACAAGGACATCAGATCAGCTAAAGTGATTTCAAGTAGAACAGGCATCCCTTTGTCCACTGTTTATCGTGTTTTGAAAAATATTGCAAATGGATATGGCATTGAGCACCAGAGAGGCGCAGGTAGGCCCAGAAAATTGACTGTCTGTGACAGGAGGCGGCTTGGTATTCTTGTTTCTTAAAACAAACGAAGGAGTTTAGAAAACTTAAGGCTGGATATGATTGATAGAGGAACTGTGGCTGTCTGTAAGGAGACAATTAGAAAAGTCGAGGAATTCCATCACCGATCATGAAACCTGAACAAAAGGAGCGAAGGTTGAACTGGTGCTTACAGCATAGAAATTTTAACTGGGACAATGTGATTTTCTCAGATGAAAGTTCTGTGTGGCTTTTTCCAAATACACTGAAATTCTGGACCAAACAAACTGAAAAACCTTTGCATCAGCGCGCCGAAAATACAGTCCGAAATTCAACGTGCGGGGTGGCATATTTGTGTTAGGGGCAACGCCCCTCTGTGTATTTGAAGGGAATATGAATGGTGAGCAGATGAACACAGATATTCTCGAGGGACATTTACTTCCATCTGCTCACATGTTCTATGGAAATATTTTTGATTTTCCAGCAGGACAACGACCCAAAACATCATTCAAAGCATTCACAGGCTTGGTTTTCGGACCCAAAATATGACATTATTAGATTGGCCAAGCTATAGCCCTGACCTAAATCCAATAGAAAATGTTTGGGGAATTATGAAGGAAAGTGTCACTAAGAAAAATCTGACAAATATTGCTGAAATGAAAGAAGAAGTGGTCCGATATTGGGACAGCATAGACCACGACTTTCTAACTTCTTTGATCAGTAGTATGCCCCGCCGCATTGAAGCCTGCATTGCTGCCCATGGTGACTTGACAAAATACTAACTGTTCACCTGTCTTTGAATCTGGAGTTATGTTCTGCTAATATTCACATTTAATACGTGAGTAATGAGTGAAAAAAATACAAAAAATAACAATCTTTAAATTCCCAATAATTTCTGTTGTACTGTATATTGTGAGTGAGCTGGGTTTTATGATGCTGTTATATAGTGAGTGAGTGAGCGTGGTTTAACGCTGCCTTTAACAATATTCAAGCAACACCATTGCATGACTTTTCAAAATGCCAATTTTCAGCCTTTTATTAATATTGGTCATCCTTCCATACTCTCTTCTCCACTTTTGACAGGTAACATTTTACATTAAATGTTTATGGTAAAATGTTCAGTTTTGCATAAAAAGTGTGTAAAAATATGCTGCTGTAAGAACTGTGTACACTGTTATGCCATATGATGTAATCATACTTTATTACCCACGTGGTCAACGTATGGGTAGTTGCATACTAATCTCGTACGTCACACGAGTGTCGTATCGCGTTGACCTGTGTCGTAACGACTTGACCTGAGATTCTAACGATTTGATTGGATAACCGATGACCTCTCAATTAGTACACATTCTGATGTAACTATTTTTTCATTCATAACAAACACATGAATTCATTCATTCTACAACTTAAATGCATTGTAGGAATGTAAACATCGCGAACGTTGCCGTGTCGCTGTTTAATTGTGAGTCGAACTGAGACATTATCGACGTTGAAAAACATAAACGCAATGTTTCCACCAGTGATGTTAGCTGAAAGAAGCAACTGCAAACCAAGAAACGGGGTTCTACGGAGTAGTTTACTGTAGGAGGCTGTACGAGGCGATGACAACTGACATGCATCTTGACGTCGGTTACCAAGGCAGTGACGTCATTACAGTGTGACGTCATGCAAATATTGTACTAAAGTACAAAACTCTTCCGCAACCTCTTTATGAAACCGGTTTCGGTTTGAAACCAAAATATTTACAAAAATACGCTATTTTGTCAATTTAACGCATGTAAGACGTGGGTAATAAATAAAATACCACACTCGGTCTCATTACATACAAATTATACGAAACTCGTGACCTTCCTATGTTATGTGACCTCGCTTTCGCTCGGTCAGATACCATAGGAAGGACACTCGTTTTGTATAATTCGTATGTAATGAGACCTCCTTGTGTAGTATTCTCTATGTACAACCTTACCTTTGGGGAAATAAAAACCAAAAAGAACACCATTGCAGGAGACAACCAGAATGGGATTCACACATTGTACCTATGTGGGGAATAGAACCTGGGTCTTCAGCGTGATGAGTGAATGCTTAAACCACTAGGCTACCCCACCGCCCTGTATATTTCTGAACTGAGGCCAGTAGTAGAAGTCCAGTTTTAGATGTTCACATTCTATACATCATCAGAAGCTGGAGTAATCCAAAAACATGATTTGCATCATGCATTTCAAATTTTCTCACCTTTCTTACTGCTTAACACATCATACAAATCTCGAATGACAATCATCGTCTTCTCCACCACTGGCTCTCCATAACATCCCTGCAAACAGAAAACACATTGTGTTTACATAATTACACTCCACAGCAACACAACGAAATGGTGTTACATATAACAGGCTAGTCTGCAATATCACAGCTGAATTATGTCCAGTGGTCTGGGTCTCAATTAACTAGAGTATAAACAGATAACAGATATTATTGTAAAATAGCTGCTGAATTTAAAATATAACCCACCTAATGCAATCACACTAACAACTCAAGACACGTGTTGAACTGGTATCATGATCATCTGATGCAACATTATAAATTTACTGGCGTGTTGGTTGATTTGTTTGCTTGTTGTTTAATGCCACACTAAGTAATATTCCAGCTATATGGCGGCAGTCTGTAAAGACAGTGATCAACAGCATGAGCATCCAGGGGTGGAAATAACTTTAAAATTGCTAGTTTACTCCGGTACAGTGGCACATGTAAAATCACTTGCCCTAATAATTTTTCCACTATACCGGCCGGTTTTCTTGTTGTATACAAATTTGCTTGCCCGACAGAAAAACACACAGGACTCGGACGTTGGGCAATGGGTTATTTCCACCCCTGGCATCGATCTACACAACTGGGATACGATGACACGTGTAAACCAAGTCAGCGAGCATGACCACCTGATCTCGCTAGTCTCCTCTTACAACAAGCATGCCCTAGTTTTACATGGTTACCATGGTTACCCCACAGACACAACATAATGCCATGCCAACCAGTTGTTATATCTCCTTAATCAAGGGCTGGCTAAAAAGATTGATAATCGGAAATATCTTTGATAGGAAAAATTATGAATGATTATCGATATGAAACGGAGGGAACTCTGCACAACAATATGTAAATTCTTACACAACTCGAAGCCAGTCGGAGCTAGTACAGACACTGCATGTTACCATAGCCACCGAAATATGAAACTGCAACCTTTTTTAACATTAGGCCAGACCAATTTTATTTCTTGTTCTACGGATCCGCTGGTTGTATTTTATCCAAGAATAAGAAACAAAATTAAATTAATTTTCCCCGCTCAAAAACTAATTTTTTTATATTTTTATTGGCCAATAATGTAAATGTGCAAGAAAATGTTTTAGATTGTTTTTTTTGCCCCATATAAATTGCCAAAAGTAAAATACTATATTAAAAGGAGTATTACTTTGGTGATTTTGATTTTGACTTTTTTTCCCTCCTGCCTTTAGGTTTTCTGAGGGCAAAATCTGTAAAACAAGAAATGAGATTGGTCTGGCCTTAGAAAAATATATAAACATTGTGAGCTATCTATGAAAATCACCTGTGGTTTGTCCGGATGTGAACAAAGAAGATAGGTACTCTTGGGAGCTGAAACAAACACAGAACATCCATTAAATCAACAGTTGTAATAATTTCTAAATCACTAAATAAAGATATATATTGATAGATAAAAATGGCTAACTAATACTTAAACATACTGAACAATGGATACTGTCACAGCTTGAGTCATTGTTCAGTTTTGCTAATCATTGTCACTGTAAATGATTCAAAATACAAAAATGCAATTAACAATAACATCCAATGAATTTTCAACGATTTAACCTGTCAGTCTACATGTAAATGCTGGCAATGATTTCAAAACATAAGTACTACTTTTGAGTCAGTAGGTGTGATTACAGTCATTGATTTCTATCACAGCAGGACATGAAAACCTTAATCACTATAATCGTCAACATTGTTTTAATAACTGCAAATTATTCCAAAATGCATGACTTTGTGTTTGTTGTTTAATGCCGCACCCAGCAATGTTCCAGCGATACATGGCAGCCTGTTAATAATAGATTCTGTATCCCCCCTAAATTTTAATGATGAGGAACAATTTCTTTGAGTGGCACTTATAGAAGTTGGATATGTCTTTCAGTAAGTTCAGATACAATTTAAGAAACATGTTAAAACCATCCTTATCAGATGAGGAATATATATTCAGGTGAAAGGATTTGACTAGAAGTCAAGGGAGGATACGGACGGAAGTCTTCCCCAAAACTCTAGGATAATCATATTAAGATCTGAATTTCAATTTCCAACTGTGTAATATAGCCGTGTATAAAATAATTTTGAAATGTGGCCTGTCCAAAACTGTGACCAGTCCTGAACAAACACAGCCAGTCCCAAAAACTAAAACAATAAATAATCGATAATCAGCACATGTTGTTTTGATCACAAGTTCAAACCAAGTCAAGTTTATTTTTTCAAATATTTCCCCCGACCAAAGGACGGCTTACTTATTTAACAGCCCGTCTTCCTCAAAAATAGACCATCAAGGATGGTGGGACGGGCTGTATTTTATACACTGGACATTGTGAAAGATCTCAGTGAAACAAAAAATGGACATTATTAACCGGATCACATGCAATGATAAGATATGTTTGTACCTGCTTTGACATCTCCAATCCCGCTGTACCACGCTAAGATGACATCTCTCCTAACAAACAGGTAACTGACGGCCAGAACCAGGAAAAACCCTCCAACAATCACAAGCAGACCCCCAGACACATGCTCAGGGTAGAGCTTGTAATTTTTCTTCGAGTCATTCACATGCTTAGATGATGTATGGTTTGTTGTGTGACGTTTGGAGTTAGCATATGTGCCTGGGGTGACATGATTTGAGTAACTTGTGTTGGACTTTGTCTCATACGATCTATTCCGCGATCTGCCATCGTTTAAACTGTTGTTGCTTTCAATGGTAAATGTCGTGTTCACAGACTTGTTCTCAACCTCATATGTACTTTCATCGAGATCGGAGTCTGACGACTCAAATGTCTCATTTACTCTGGATCTGTTTCCAAGGCTGCCAGATGCGTTGAGGTCACTCAAATCGGGGTACAATCGGGATGTAGATTGACGTGCATTTAATTTCGTGATACGAGGAGAGTCATCTGTTTGTTCTGATTTCCGGGATCGCAAACTGGGACGTCCTAACGACAATCTGCTGCTAGATGGTTTAGGTTTTGGGGGAGTGATGGGTGTGTTTGCCGTTGATCTGCGCCTAAGAGACTTGGATACCCCACTAACGATCTTGGATCTCTGTCGGTCAGTCTGACCCGCGCTTTCGAAGTCGCTATCATCGGAGCTTAAAACATCGAGGTGTGCACCCTTGGTAGACTTCCTGGTAGTCTGATCTCCGCTATTTGCCTTAGATTTGAAATGATTCAGCTTTTTAATGTATATCTGCCGCTTGCCCAGCTTCAGTGGCAGACTCACTGTTTCTCCAAACCGTTTCAGTTCGTCCACGAGTTCTCGGTCCGTTATCTTCTCCGCCATGTTGATCGATGACCGACTCGGCCCGGATGCCGCAGGTGCGCGTGCGCGACAATGCCGGTTGGGGCACATTTTTTTCGCATCGGAAAAGTGGAGATCTTCCATAATAATCTAAAACCTGTGTATACCATGGGCGGATCCAGGAATTTTGAAAGGAGGGGATTCAGTGGGGTTCGAACCCCCTGAAACCCCATTGGCTCCGCCAACGCAAAAAAAATAAATCTTCAATGTGATCTTAAAGTCATTTTCAAAGGGGTGGTTGGGGTGGGTGTTTCAACCACCTGAACCCCCCTCTGGATCCGCCACTGTAATACTATTGAGTGTGTGAATGAGTGAGTTTAGTTTTACGCCACACCAAGCAATATTCCAGCTTTATGGCGGCGGTGTATACTATTGAAAATATGTGGTAAACTGAACTAAATACCATACTAAAAAAAGCCGAATGTTATAGAATATATAACAATCAAAGTACGTTTGTAAAGATCAGTGTAAATGGTTGCATGCAATGAAACTCCACTGGAGCTCGGTTATATCCCATGGTACTTCGCTGATTGGCGATTGGGAAAAGTAATCAGCACCTATACTGTTTCCTGACATATCCCCACAACTGCTCAAAGCAAAGTGTTTTTGAAACTGTTTAACTCCTTGTATATACTCCAAAACACAAGAAAATGAAGTTTGATAAACATTTTAGTACCAATCTGTACTTTTTTATTATAAAAAACAACAAGTTACATTTTTCTGGTTTGTACTGACTAGGAATGACGAAAACTTCACAGTTTGAACGGTAAAATCTAATGGCAAGCCAAGCGACCAGGTCAGGGGCGGATACAGCTTTTGGAGAAAGGGGTGGGGGTGCACAGTTCATTTTAACCCGTTTTCACGAGTGTTTCAATGGTCATTAATAACCACCAAACCCCTGGATCCACCTATGGAGTTGACTGTTGCTTTCTACTCGCCTAGACCGCCTCCTTGGTGTAGTGGTTAGAGCGTCCGCCCGGAGAGCGGAAGGTCGCGGGTTCGATCCCCGACCGCGTCATACCAAAAGACGTTAAAATATGGTACTTGTTGGTCCCTGCCTGGCGCTCGGCATTGATGGGTACAACAAGGACTGGTCGGCTCGGAGTCAGTATAACGTGTCTGAGTGGGGTATTCATGCTTCACTGCGGCATGGTATCTCAGTGGGCTAGCACTATAAACCAGCTTAAGTCTGGGCTAGTACAAGCAGCCGCACATACACATACACACGCATGCACGTCGTCATATGAGCGAAATATTCTCAAGCACGACGTTAAACCCAATTTCACCTCACCTCACCTTCTACTCGCCTAGGCGATAATGTGTTTGATCGGCATTCAAGAAGATGGTGGGTCAATATGAAGTATATAATGCAATAAACAAGAAGTTGTTATCCATAAATTCGTATGGTTTATCGTGATAACCATGTGGTTAACTAGGATTGCTTGTTTGAGAGGCATTTAGAAGTTAGAGCCCTAAAAATGGATGGCAACATTTGCATGAACAACTGTATTACAGCGAGAGCGACGTTTCGGTGAAGGTTTTAACAAACAATCACTAACAAGATAACGGCGTAAGAACATATACACATAATGTACACCGAAACGTCGCTCTCATTGTAATAAAGAAGTTGTTCATCCACATATTGTTATCCATCCCTTAAAAAAAAGGATTTATTAAATAGGATGGCATACTCAGCAGCCCATGCTTCTCGTAAAAAGACTACTAACGGGATCGAGTGGTCAGGCTCGCTGACTTAGTTGACACGTCATCGTATCCCAACTGCGTACATCCATGCTCAAAGTGTTGATCACTGGATTGTCTCGTTCAGACTTGACTTTATTTTGACAGAGAGCATTTAGCTGGAATATTGCTGAGTGCGGCGTTAAACACCAACTAGCCAACCTATTAAGACACCTATTTTACAAGCTTTAAAGTGAATGCTTCTGAGTGGAAATCAGTTGAAATATTAGCTGTTGCAGCTTGTGTGCTGCTTTGCTAATGGTAATTATGTTATGTGGGAAATCGGACCCTGCTCTTTGGCGACACGAACGAATACTTCAAGCATAAGACTGCCCCCGCACCACGGATCTTGGTCAATCACCAAATAGAAATATTGTGAATAACTAACCTTGAACATATCGGAATGGGTTCATACAGTTTGCTTTGTAATTGGAATAGTTTAATGTGCATTACAAGTCTGTTTGGACCCTGAACATACGATTCAATATAAGCACAGGCAGTGTATGAATTAATTTTGAAATGTCATTGGCCAGGAGGGCTAGTTGTGTAAAAATGTTGCTAGCCCACACCATACTTCACTGGCCTGCAAATATCAATATCAAAATACACATCGGTCAGAATTGTTGTGATGTTTGGTAATTGAAGATGGTAAGTTACTGTAAGCTTATATAGCGATCTTCGTGTGACAAGAGATAATAAATATCTTGACACTTTTTGAGGACGAAATTTTAACACCTTAATAATTAACATCATCAGATTCATGTGTATGAAATAAAGAACAAAGTTTCCAGCTAGCCAGTCGGGATAACTATTAACAATATATTACTGGCCCGATTCACAATCATTGTTTTCAGTAGGAATAAAAATTAAAACTCAAATTTTTAATATTGAAGATATCACGAAATATGTTTGATCATCTCATCGTGGTGGCCTTAACGTGGGAAAAAAAATTTTAGAAGCATCTTTTGCGCTTTGACAAAGTACGTTTTATTTTGATGAAGAACCAGCGTAAAGAATGTCCGAGGCGGGCATAAAATCTCACCCGGGCTATGTTTTGTACAAGATTCTTTGAACGTAACAAAATGAGATCCACCCGGCGAGATATGAACTCTTGAATATCACGTTCGTATATCTAAAGAAAATATAATTTGGGGTTTATTTCCTATAGATGAAAATTATTGAAACCAAATCAATATTTTGTATGAAAAGAAACATGTTAAACGAAAGAAATAATGACAACCCACCAACATTTCAATTTATTCAGATGTGTGAAGCCCATTGCTGGTATCCCCCGCCGTGATATTGCTGGAATATTGCTACAAGAGGCGTAAAACACAACTCACTTACTCAACAATTTATTCAGAAGAAGATCGCAGAAGAAATTGATAATCATACATTAACAGAGATTATTTTCATAAACTGTGGGGTTGGGGGTTGGGGGTTGGGTGGGTTTAATGATTTTTATGGAGAAGCATGTACAATGTGAATGACCCCCTAAAATTTATGTACAAAATAAGTAAGCCCCTGCATGTCATGTACAAAATCCCCTTCCCTACCCATAATTTCTAAAATATTTTTATGTACAAAATTGCTGACCCCCCTAGTACATGTGTAGAAAATTGATGACCCTCCCCTAGCTCCCCAGAACAAAATGGGTGACCCCCCTTAAAATCTTCATCAACACAAAACACACAAAAAAACCTCCCCCCTCCCTTTACAACGGTATCACTATGATTGTCCAAAACTGAGTGGCAGTATGTATTCCAAGGTAATATAATACAGGGGCAACGATTATAGCATTGCAGACACTGATGGTACGCTCAGCAACAGTAATTAATCCATCTATCGAAATTAGATCTATGTATTGATCTCACAAAATACATACTGATCTTCTTGAGCTTGAGATGTAATGAAATGAGAGGTAAAAGCTTACTTAATATACCTTACAAAAAAGAGATGCTAGAACATTACTAAAGGTGATGATTCTGGAACAAGCGTTTGCATATAGGAAGACTGGTCATTTTTCTCTCTGATGCACAACTCTATTTTCGCAACAGTTTGCCTGTGGTCGGACACTGGAGATTGTTATGCAGTGTTACATGTTGTGCAATAATGTTTCAGTTGTACATTGTACCTGTGATCCGAACTATTCAAGGCTACTTCATAGGATAAGAGTGAGTGAGTGAGTGAGTGAGTTTAGTTTTACGCCACACTAAGCAATATTCCAGCTATATGGCGGCGGTCTGTAAATAATCGAGTCTAGACGTGGAGGCACAATCGCCGGATGTTGTGCTCCATGAACCTCCGGTTTCTTACGGTTCTGCGATTAATTGGTCGTTAATGTAACGTGACGTGAAGTTACGTGAACGACCGGCCCGTGGCAGGTCATGAGTGAGTGAGTGTGTTTAGTGTTATGCCGCTTTTAGCAATATTCCAGCAAAATCACACCGGGGTACACCAGAAATGGGCTTCACACATTGTACCCATGTGGGGAGTCGAACCCAGGTCTTCGGCGTGACGAGCCAACGCTTTAACCACTAGGCTACCCCAGGCAAGTCATGAACGTTGTTCTGCTCGTCAAATAACTCCTCCAAAGTTATAATATAGTGTTTCGATGAATGACAAAGTGCAATATAGAACACACTTTATGGATAACAACTTCTGTTATTCGTGAGTGCGACGTTTCGATACAGATTCTTGTACCATTGTCAAGCAAGAATCTGTATCGAAACGTCGCACTCACGCATAAAAGAAGTTGTTATCCATAAAGTTTGTTCTATATTGTACTTCCCAATTTCTAAAATGCCACTCAAAGAAGTAATGACAAAGTGCATGGCACCTTCGTTTGAAGTGCCAACGTGTATATAGGTCGACAGGGGAAGTAGCTCAGAATTATACGTTGACGAAGACGAACGAAAACGTTGAGTCCAAATTTCTTTACTCGGTTACACAATAAACAGAGTACATTAAAAATAAGTCGAGTAGTAATTATAACTTTACTATGATGAGACAAGTCCAGAAAACAGGTATATCCTACTCACGGTACATACAGGTGCAGTCGGAATACCAGACTGCCTGACAGTGTAGATGTGAACATATATGAAGAGAAAAACAACAGTGGACAGACGAACAGACCACAATAGACAGATAAAGAAACAATAACATTGCCTTGGGCTAATTGATGTCATGGCGGACACGCTCAAGGGGATGACCAATGAAGGTTATAGATGTCATTATAAAGCTTGTGGCTA